TACAAATATACCCCAGCGACTTAAGACTGGTTTTGTGGTCCAGGGTCACATATGTATATATATATATATATATATATATATATATACTTACACAACCTCGGAAAACACACGCTGTTTGAACACGCTGGACAACTAGTTGTAGTACAGTGCGAGAGAGCTGCTCATGTGTGGTTTCACTCTGGGTAAGTTACAGCGACGGAGAAGTGAGCTGTGCATCATCTGAAGGTTTTAGATCCAGTCACTGTTCTCCACTGGAGCAGTTTCCGTCAGTTTTGCATATTTGCAGAACGCCCAGTTTTCTGTGCGTGACTCAAATTCAGTGTCATGCAGGAGATGCAGAGAAGGACGCGAGTGCATTTACGGGCTTGACTCTCGTTGCACGTTTATAGAGACAGTATTCGAGATGCTACAGTACAGTAAGCTGCTGTTTGAACGGGACATTTCGAGACTGTAAGGAAATGCGGTTGTCAATTCCTAAAACTGAGAGTGTGAACGTGGTCGTAGTTAATGTAGTGATTACTTTCATTTCTGGCGTTATGGCATTTTTAAACTGTGTCGGAGATGTTAGCGTGTCTCTAATAATATCGGTCAGAAACATGATCACTGTACGATCTAATGTGTAGTGCCTTATTAACTCACTGTCATGCATTGTGTGCAAATATGCATTTCTTCAAGTTGATTTTCTCTGCTGCTAAAAAAACTCTTAAGCTTCTTAAAAGTCCTCGTCAGTACTCCTAACAATTTTGGACCTTAAGAGCTCTTTTAAGGGTTAAGATACTTTCTGAATTACTTTCTTCTTTACCAGGATCTTTTCTTTAATTTTAAGAGGAAACACCCACATTTCTAAGATCTTTCTTAGAATTTTGTCACTAAGAGCAACTCTTTGCACTAAGAATTTTGATGAATACGGGCCCAGACCTTTTATTCTAAACGATAAAGGAAAATTTTATTTCTCATGCGCGGACTACAAAAACTAAAGCAAGAGTCAAGCCTTATTCCATACGATTTTCTTTACAGAACCAGTTTGCCCTGGTACTCATTACTGATGTGCAGGAAAAAGAGGATTCTGGCAGGTTTTGTTGTTTGAATGGATCTGGGCTGGCGACCCAAAGCTCATGTGTACAAATCGTGAAGATCCATGAACTATTAAGAACAGGTTGACGATCAAGTTGATATTTTGTAAAAGTGACCGTTGACAGACAGAGCCATGGGAATATTTCTGTCTCTCTCAGTGAGCATAGCTGGAGCCCTTATTTTGTTCTGTAAACCCAAATGGCTCTCAGGGGACTGCACAGTCTCAGAGCAGCTCCCACGACCTCTCACCTCCTACGTCCACACACACAGCAAATCAGGAGGAAAGGGGTGAAGTCAAGCAGGACTGACAGTATGTGTTCTGTTAGACTGCAAATGTTGTTGGATAATTGTTTTGTGCATGTTTTTTGACTTTTTTAAAAATTCTATGACATATTCTATTTTAATGGTCCTTTACGCATTGCCCAAACACATCGTAAAACACAGAGGGAGTATGAGGACAGGACATCAAAATTAATCCATAATTAAATCTAATACAACAGATTCATCTGTCTGTTTAGATGTAATTGTTAGATGTTCCGTGTGTATGCGTGAGTATGTGTGTGTGTGTGTGTGTGTGTATGATTGCTGTGGTGTTGAATGTGCTGATGACCGAGGGCTCTTGTCAGTAATTGAGCTTAATTAATTTAAGAGCCTCAGATTGATTCCAGATCTCAGAGTTTAGTCCACAGTAAAGTAGGTGATGACTAACCCTGTTTTTAAAGCAGCTGGATTTATAATGTGATTCCACATAAACTAAACACCGTTCTGCTCCTGTTTAATGAGTAATTCACCCCAAAATGAAAATCTGTCATTATTTACTCACCCTCATGTTGTTTCAGATCCTTATGCTGCTGTTTTTTCTGCTAAACACAACAATAATTTGAAATTATCCATATTCATATATCCATTGTTTGATATTGTGTTAGAACGGTGTATATTATATATACATTTATTTATTTATGTTACAATTAATTATATATGGTTTAAGTCTACTATATTACAGTTTATGTAAATTGTGAAATTTGCACCTAGTAACATATTTATTGGACCACACAACTAGCTGCATTTGCATGTTTTTTTTAAATTATCATTTGAATTATGCAGTTTTTATTTTGAGTGCAGTTCTGCAGTGAATTCTGTATCATCTTCATACATTATGCTAAATTGACTATTTCCTTAAAAAATAAGGCTTATCCCAGTGTTTATTTCAATATCCTCTCCACAATTGGCAGCAGAATTTTTTTTGCATGTAATAAAACCCTCAGCTACAATGACATTGTGGTCATTTTCCAAGCTAATGTTCTCCTTTCTGTGTAAATCAACTATTTTGACTTATCTTAAGATACAGTACGTCTCTAGGACCTGCTGAAAATATTATTTTTTATTTATAGCTGCTTTGTCTATTTGGTGATTTAATCTGCCACAAGAATATCATATATCTGAACTGTTTTCATTTGAGGATTGTTTCAGCAAATATTGATATGCAGTCCATTTGATTAATCATGTAATTATTTCATTGCGTTTTTAAATCAATTGACAGCTAGTTGAAACAAATCAGTTCTGAAATCCCTTTTCCCAGAGTCGTGTGGAGATGAATGTCTGTGTTTTGATCCTCACAGGAAAGTTGGGAAACAGTCAGCAAAGACTTTGAAATTCATCTGGCATTTACAGACGCAGCATTTCTGCTCTATAATCCTCTCGAACACAGTGTCTCTGGTGCACCGACATTCTGTGTGTTTGTGTGTGATATCTGTTCTTTTCTGATAGGCCTGATCTGTAATAAAATGTCATCCAGACAAATGGCTCAGTACATTTTCTGATGTGGGTTCAGAGCTTCTAGCGGCTTTATGCTTAAAGATATTAGAGCTGATGCAATTAGAGAGCTAATATCCTCTTTGTCTCTGTTTTGTCTGTCTAGGAACGGGTGGAGTATCTCTTTCTGATCATTTTTACGGTGGAAGCATTTCTCAAAGTTATTGCATACGGGTTGCTGTGTCATCCTAATGCGTACCTGCGGAACGGCTGGAACTTGTTGGATTTCATCATCGTGGTGGTAGGGTGAGTACAAGCTCCCGGTGTAACCTGAAGTAACCCCTGAGACATAGGAACATATGCACGCATGAGTGAGTGATCTGATCTCTGGTCTACAGTTTGAGTTATCGTAGTAAACTGCCACACTTTAATAGAGAAGAATGCTTTTTGTAGGGTGTCAGTGGACAGCTTTGTTGTCTTTGCACAGAAGCTGAAATTGTGTAATGAAATGTAGTGTTTTAAATATGAAATTATAAACTTATGTTCATGGAACGTAAGCATGTTTATGAAACATAGCATGATTTATTACATTCTAAATATGAAAAATTAAAAATGTAAAAATAAACTTTCTGTAAAAAAAAGTTCTTTAAAGTACTTTAATTGTTAAATATACTAAAAATATATAATTATTTATTGATACCTTTTTTATTTTATTGTATTTATTTTTTATCTTAATATTAGCTCTCTTATTTTAAAATACATAATGACGTTATTTATATGAACATTCAGTACTTTTCCAGGACTTTTGTTGGTTTCCCAGTAAAGAATAGTCAATTCACTCACACTACTGGTCTGAATGTCATATCTGACAACTGGTCTGTTGCAGTTAAGCTCTATGTCTCATTTAAGTCATTTTTAAAAATAGACTTTATTTATTTATTAAAAAATCAAATAAAGTAGATTTATGTTTAAAACTAATTGCTAAAGAGGCTTTTCATTTTATTTTATTTTATCTTATTTTCAAATATAATATTAAATGTGCATGGTGTTGATGGCACTTATAATAGTATTTCAAAGTAGTGTTCACTTTCAGTAGAAATGAATGGTAAATTAAAAAAAATAACAGTATGTTTAAAAGACTCTAGTCATATCATGGAAAAAGCATTCCCAGCCCCCCAATGATTTTCATTTGTTGCCTACTGGGTAAAGTCAGGACTGCTTTCTTATTCTCACTTAACAAATTTCTTAGTTTAAATTTAATGTGAAATGTAAATTGCTAATGAATCGATAGCTTCCACTTTCTCTCTCTCTTTCAGGCTGTTCAGTGCAATATTAGAGCAGGCCACTAAAGGGGATGGTGGGACTTCAATGGGAGGCAAGGCTGCAGGGTTTGATGTAAAAGCCCTGCGAGCCTTTAGAGTGTTGAGACCTCTGAGACTCGTATCTGGAGTACCTAGTGAGTACACACACACACACACACACACACATCTGATGACTGTTGAGTAAGTTGTCCATGAGTCAGAACTGAGAACCTGAGAGACCACGAATTTAAATAAATGTTAATTTCCTTCCTATAGGAGGATCTGAAATGATGCGAGAATCAGTAAACACAACCCAGAAATTCAGAAGTCAAAACTCTATTAAGCCATTCTTATCAGCATGTGTAGGCACAGCTTTTTATTATTGTGTAGGCAAATCCATTTATTTTTTCTGATTGCCAGTTTTGTCCAGAATGCGAACATTCATTAGTTGTTATTATATGTCTCTCTGAAATACTTGAATCTGATTAAGCAGTCACTTTATTCTGCAGTCAAATATTTTTTCAACACCTAAGTATAATGACTTTTAAACTGTATACTGTAATTGTCCATTTGTTTTAAGTTGTTCTGGCTTCACAATGGGATCATAATTAGCTGATGACTGCACATTATCATTTTATTATTGATAATATTCTGAGTATAAACAGTTACTTTTCAGAATATAAATGCTTTACTCATAAAACAAAGAAAACCATCCATGAGAATTATCTACAGTAATTTTTTGATTCCTTGTGTGCTTGCAGGTTTACAGGTGGTGCTGAACTCCATCATTAAAGCCATGGTTCCCCTCCTGCACATCGCTCTGCTCGTTCTGTTCGTCATCATCATTTATGCCATCATCGGCCTCGAGCTCTTCATGGGCAAGATGCACAGAACCTGTTTTTTCTTCAAAGATGGACACAAAGGTCTGGGCTTTATCTGTAGTATTTGTTCCTTCTTTGTTCTAGTCATTGGTCCCTGGTATTTACCCAGATCAGCTGGCAAAATCCCGTTTTCTTTCAGGTACTATATCTGAAGAGAAGCCGGCCCCCTGCGCCCCAAGCTCCACCCATGGACGACACTGCTCCTCGGCCAACATAACGCAGTGCATGATGGGATGGGCGGGCCCAAATGATGGAATCACGAACTTTGATAACTTTGCATTTGCCATGCTAACTGTGTTTCAATGCATCACGATGGAGGGCTGGACTGACGTCCTGTACTGGGTGAGTCTGCTCCAATAACGGCACACCACACCTAATGACTGTATGAGCACACATGGTCTCTTTAATGAGAAAAGACACATGAATGAGGTACAGCAGGGTTAAGAATATCTCCCAGTGTCTTTAGTTAAAGATCCTAAAGGAACCCTATTTGAATTTCTTTCCTAATTTGGAACAAATCCTAAATAGAATCATAATGTAACTATAATGGGAATTTTCCTATAGGATTTCAGAGAAAATCTTATGGAACATAGGTAAAAATGCCCCTGCATAACATTTAAAGTGTTTCAAATATATTTTGGGGGATTTTATAAGCTCCCAATGTGATCGCCATTATTGTGGATAGAGATGATTCTGAAGGGTTTTTGAAAGATTCATTCTTAGTTCCAAATTATAATGGAAATTCTATTAGGAATCCACATTCTTTTGCGATTTATTATTTTATATATATTTTTTAAATATATATATTTTTTGACTAGGTGAGTGGTGTGTATGTTACGGCTCAACAACAAGGATGACTTAATGGCTTGGGCCAGTGCTGCGTCGCCACTGTAATTTTTACATTCATTGATTTTGTACATCCATCTTTTTACCTTGCGAATTTAAACCTTTGGATTTTTGTGATATATTTTACATTGAAAATATTCTGCTGATTCTTCACCAAGACAATGTTTTGAATTTGCAGAAATGACTTGTAATGCAACAGTAAAAAAAAGTGCTGAAAACTATCATTGATGTCATCATATGACATTATTTTCTAGCAAAAGGGTGTTTATGAATTTATGAAGTTACATTATAGCTATATAAAACTTAGTATGTAATGAGAAATATAAATATTCCCAGCAAGCATAACACATTGCTAAAAACAAACATCAAACCTTCTAATATGGTGGGGCCACTGAAAATGTTTGCATGGCACGTAACAAAAAAAAACTACTGGCCCGACTCGGTATCAGAAAAAGTCCTGTTGAGCCCTGTGAATGTGATTATATCACTGCTGCTCTCTAAAGCCCATCTTCACTGTATCTCAGTCTTCTGCACTCTTCCAGATACTTAAAGTGATTGACGGTTTTCCTGATGACATCTTTTAATGCAGTCAAACAGACTCGGCTGAACGTCTCTCTCTCTCTCTCTCTCTCTCTCTCTCTCTCTCTGTCTTTCTCTCTTTTGAATATGCTCTGTGCTTCATGGGTTTTCTTGATGTTCTGGGTTTCTGAGGGACAAGCATGTGCTGTTCACTGCACTCGTTTCCGCTGACTGTCTTCCTCTCCTCTCCGCTCTTCTTTCTTTTTCTAACTGTCCCCTCCTCGTCTCAGATGCAGGATGCCATGGGTTATGAGCTTCCATGGGTCTATTTTGTCAGTCTGGTCATCTTTGGATCCTTTTTCGTTCTAAATCTGGTTCTGGGTGTGTTGAGCGGGTAAGCATTGTGTGCTGAATGTGTGTGTGTGGACAATAGAACAAGCTCTGTCTGAACTCTGATCAAACACATTTTCTTTCTCAAAGCACTGGGATTGAGCGAGCCAGAGAGGGGTTGTGTAGCACTGCCCAAGTCCAGCAGACACATACTAATTATTCATTCATCCCTTTTCAACTGTACCCCTCCATCCATCCATCCCTCTCTTCCCCCATACTCCATCCTTTCCTCCATTCCCAGGTGAATGATGCTGTAGGGAATTCCTGGCCATGGCTTTATTTTGTCACTTTAATCATCATTGGCTCCTTTTTTGTTCTTAATTTGGTTCTTGGGGTTTTAAGCGGGTAAGGGACACTCATTCATTCTCTCTCCATCTTCTTTATTTCTAACTAAATTTTTATCCTTTGGAGGGTGTGTGTGTGAGAGAGCTCTGTTATCTTGCTTTGTCTTTTTTGTGTTTAAAACAAGTCTGTACAAGCAAGGGTCAAAAGATGTTTTGTTTGCTTTTTTATTTTTCTGTTATTAAAATGAGTTTGGTTCTATTTTTTACAATAAATACACCACTGTACAAAAGTTTGGGGTCAGTAAGATTAAAACAAATAAATAAATAAAATAATATTTGTTTTTTATTATTAAGCAAGGACACATTAAGTTTATGAAAGGTAAAGGCATTTATAATGTAACAAAAGACTTTTATTTCAAATAAATGCTGTTCTTTTGAACTTTTATATTCATTAAATAATCCTAATAATCCTAAGCATCACATCATATCGCATATTGAATATCGCATTATTTAATGAGTTATCGCATATCACATTTTTCTTCAATATCGCACAGCCCTAATCACAACTGTTTTCAACATTGATAATAATAAGAAATGACTGCTGAAAATTCAGCTTTGCCATCACAGCAATAATTTTTTATATATGTGTTTTTATATTTCATAGAATATTTAAAAATATATTAAAATTGACAACAAAAAATGCTATAATATTTCACAATATTTCTGTTTTTCAAATTCAGTGAATGCAGGCCTGGTGAGCATAAGAAACTTTTTTCAAAAACATTAAAGAACCCCAAACTTTGAACAGCAGTGTAGTGTATGTGCCCTTACAGAAGTGTTTCTAATATTTATTTGTACTTTTAATATTTTCTGATTATTAAACTTTTTTTTCTAAATCAGTCTGTTTATTTTATGGGATGGATATTTAGAGGAAGTCTCTCTCTTTCCATTTCTCAGAGAGTTCTCTAAAGAGCGAGAAAAGGCCAAAGCTCGTGGTGATTTCCAGAAGCTCCGTGAGAAGCAGCAGCTGGAGGAGGATCTAAAGGGCTACCTGGACTGGATCACGCAGGCGGAGGATATCGACCCTGAGAACGACGACGAGGGACTGGATGACGACAAGCCTAGAAATCGTGAGTATGAAGAAGGGAAGCACCAGGTTGGGGCAAATTGATCTGCTCTGAGTTTGTTAGCATCTGAGACGTTTTGCAAGAGCTTTGTCCATGCAAATTTAATATATTAATTTTAAGTGCAGATGAGGACATTGAAATGTTACATTTTAGGTGTTACAGTGTTAAATGCCGACTTTTCTATTGTTTTAATTTATACTGAAAATACTTAAAAATATCTACATGAAATATTGTTTCTTTTATCTCTGGCCCTTCAAGCATGATCAAGGCCTGACATCCTATAGGCAGCTAGTCAATTTTGGCAATTTTGAGTAATATTCACTGAAAACACAAATTTGTCTATTAGCTAGTTTTACATGTTCAGATATGATGTTTATTGTCATTAAGGAAAATTTATCTGTTTTCTATTTGATTAAAACAAACAGCAGCTCACCTAAAATATTGATTGTGAGATTGGCTGCCAACATGCCTGCGTTTGCATTTCTAGAGCACAAAAACTTTGGAGAAAGTTAATCTTGCTTGCTGAGACAGATATAAATTATTTGGTCATATTACTGTATACACAATATTTAGATATGATATGGATTGTTCCAGTTGCAGATGAGAGAAACTCACCACAAACTAAAACGTGAATGAATAGATTAATGTGTTTGTGTTTGTATTTGGGCAGGTTTTGCTATCCATATTAGGAATGAAATTTTTGAAAATAAGCAAGCAGAGGCAGACCAAATGTCCTCGTGGGGGACTTTAGTCTCCATAAGGACAAAAGGTTCACAAAATGTCTAGACAGTAATCTACACTAGATAAAAAGATGTCTAAAAAAAGATGCCTACACTAGACTAGAAAAATATGCCAGTTTTAAGCTTTTGTGTGTGTGTATTTGGACTTATTTTTGACTCTGGTATTTCAGAGCCTCAGATTGTGTATGGTCAATCCGGCCCCTTACTGAGATCAGATGGGAAAACACTTTCACACACGTACAGTATATAGAGATATACTGTAATCCACATGCTGACGCACATCTAGTGGCACAAAATACAATTGCAGCTCAGTAACAGATTATTTGTATTTTTTGTATTAACAGTAATGTTTTATGTTAAGTAATTTGTGTCAAGTGTCTTGAGTTGGTTGTGACCGCCATTCGTAGCGATAAATGTTTGGGGCAGAGAGGGCTGGTGGCGTATCTCTCTCTTTCTTTGCTGTGAAGAATATTTCACATATGTTCTAGAGAGAGAGAGAGAGAGAAAAGAAAACTCAGATGAATGCAAAAGGTCATGGCAGATGTTTTCTTTAGTAAACTGTTTGTCTTTGAATCAGTCACCTCACTTACATCAGTGAGATTATTGTCCTTGCAGTTAGACTTATGCATTATGTTTTATGTACTATGTTAAAACTCCATTTTATTTACTTGCCAAAGCCTGTTTTTACTCACATTTGTCATTTGGTAAGTGTTCATTTTGAACCCTGATCATATCTGCTGTCAGTGTAAAAACTTAAGTAAGGGTTCTTTAGAGGTTGAAAGTCTGTGTGTGTGTGTGTGTGTGTGTGAAACCAGCCTTTGATGACAAGGAGTATAATCTTTTGCTCGTAATTCATCGCACTCTCTCTCTCCCTCTCTTTCCCTCTCTCTCATGCAGTGAGTATGCCGGCCAGTGAAAATGAGTCAGTGAACACTGATAATGCTCCCGCTGGAGACATGGAGGGAGAGACCTGCTGTACTCGCATGGCGTAAGTCCCCAAAGCATCCCGTTCCTCCTCTTTTCTCCTCTTCCTTCTGTTCTCCTTCCTGATCATCTCTTCTCCTTTCCTCTAATTCCGTAATTACATTTCTATTTCCCTCCATGTTTAATTCTCTTCAGACTTATGCTTTTCAGTATTCAGACATTTACAGAGATCTCAGTTGTAAGGTTGAGAGCTAGTTTTAAATGGTTTTAGGAGTCCAAGTTAATGCCAGTGAACTGGTAGGCGAGGTCAGCAGGGCTCAGTGGGCGGCTCCTGTCGCTCCCGTGATCTTCAGTGTGTTTTTTTTTCTTTTTTCTCTGTGCATCTGTTGCTGTCATCTGTTTTCCAGCTGATCTGCCCCGTTAGTGATCAGTGTTTTGTGTCACAAACACAGACAGGAACATTTATGCAATACACAGCCATAACAGTAATTATGTACAAACATTCCCACAGATATTGAAAATATGTGACCAGTTAAATCATAAGAACTGTTTAATTTCTCATAAATATGAATGCATACTGCAAGTTGAATGTAACAAAAATGTTTCCTGAAAACAGTAAGGCAATGCAGCACTCAGTGTTTCCCCTTCAGGAACTCGAGCTGCGTTGAGATTCGCTTTGGGAACGCCCTTGCGTGACCACGTTCTGAAGCACGTGTCAAATCAGTCCAATGGAGCAGCGAGACGTCACGAGCTGGGTGACGTAAGCACCAGAAAGCATAAAAGCGCATCCAGCAGAGCGCAAACCAGCTTCTGCTCTTCAGTAGCGCTCTGTGTATGTGTCTGTCTATTTACTGTTGTCTGTCCGCACAAGCACTTATATATATATAAAACAATGAGAAAGTCTATGGCGAGTGAACGGCAGTACAAACGCTGTGTTCCTCCTTGCCCACGATATCTGATGGCAGGGGATACACACGATTTGTGTGTCGTTTGTTTGGGAGCGGAGCATGCATGGTCAGCTCTTGAGGGGGCATGTGTGTGTGTGTGTGTTTTGTGTGTGTTTGTTGTGTTTCGATGCCAGTGTTGTGTTTTGATCATCACGGTTGCCCTCTAATCAGTGGCTGAACATCCATTAACAAGTTCAGACTGCCAGTGTTGTTCAGCTTAGATTTGTTTGCTATAGATGCCAAAAGAATTGAGAGCAGCAGCATTTCCAATCACTGCCAGTACAAACACACATAGTTGTTATGTTTCCAGATGCATTTAGTGAATACTGAAAGGATATTTATCCCGGCTGGTAAGAATGGAGTCAGATTGTACAGACCTTCCTTCAGAACGCGGTCACGCAAGGGCGTTCCCAAAGCGAATCTCGACGCAGCGTCTCGTTCCCTCGGGGAACCATGGTTACATACGTAACCTAGAGACGTTATCTATCTATCTATCTATCTATCTATCTATCTTCTATCTATCTATCTATCTATCTATCTATCTATCTATCTATCCCCCCCAAGTTCTGCTGTCTCTGTGGAAACACTGTCCTTCATGATGTTGTGTCTGTTCTGTATGTATAATACATTCTGTTTTCCATTCCAGAAATAGGATCTCCAAATCCAAATTCAGGTTAGTACATTACATACCGCCGGAAGGCGAGGCTGCCTTCCTTACTGCTCTTCATATATATGTGTGTGTGTGTGTGTGTTTTGTGTGTGTTTGTTGTGTTTCGATGCCAGTGTTGTGTTTTGATCATCACGGTTGCCCTCTAATCAGTGGCTGAACATCCATTAACAAGTTCAGACTGCCAGTGTTATTCAGGTTAGATTTGTTTGCTACAATTGCCAAAAGAATTGAGAGCAGCAGCATTTTCACTCACTGCCAGTACAAACACCCCACATAGTTGTTATGTTACAAAGTGCATTTAGTGAATACTGAAAGGATATTTATCCCGGCTGGTAAGAATGGTGTCAGATTGTACAGACTTTGAATTTCGCACGTTTTATATGATATTTCTCTCTCTGTTTCTCTGTCTCTCTCTTTGTATTTGCAGTCGATATTCACGCCGATGGAATCGGTTATGTCGGCGCACGTGCCGTGCAGCAGTGAAGTCAAATGTGTTCTACTGGCTGGTGATTTTCCTGGTATTTTTGAACACGCTTACCATTGCCTCTGAGCACCACCAGCAGCCAGACTGGCTCACCAATGTACAAGGTACACAACACTACAGTACCGTACATATTTCAATATACAATACTGTTGCTACTAAAATAAACAACAATGCAGCCTTGAGCGGTCAAATATTTAGTGTACGTGTGATATACTTCATATTTTGATTAGTTGTCCTTGGTTGTCCTTTTATGACTTCCATATCTCGTATCTCTCAGAGCTCAGCAGTGACCATCCAATCCCATAAAACCCCATCAAATGTTGTTGCGTAATTGATCTCAGAACCTTGGTTTGATTTGTCTATACTGAAGAACTTTGCCAACCAAGGACGATCTGTTAATAATACTACTTTACTCCAGCTATTTTAGTAAATAACGCAATGCTGATTCTATGATGTCACACTATATTCGTTTTTCCCCCCCAGACACACTCAATGTACAGAACTATTCATAAGTTTTTTAAAGATTTTTTAAAATGTTTTAGTCTCTTATGCTCACAAAGGCGGCATTTATTTGATCAAGTGAAAACAGTAATATTGTGAAATATTATTGTAATTTATAAACTACTACTTAAAATGTAATTTATTCCGGTGATGGCAAAGCTAATTTTTCAGCAGTCATTACTCCAGTCTTCAGTGCCACATGATCCTTTAGAAATTGTTCTAATATGCTGATTTGGACTCAAGAAACAATTCCTATTATTATCAATGTTGAAAACAGTTGTGCAGCTTAATATCTTTTTGGAAGCCATGCTACATTTTTAACATTATAAAATGTCTTTATTGTCACTTTTGATCAATTTAAGTATTAATTAAAGTGTTTAATTCTATTTATATTTATTTTAAATGATTGTAACACAGTTTGTGCTGAATAAGGTGTAATCAGACTTTACCCATTAATATGGTTATAAGAAACTGAAAAAAAAAAAATGGAAAAAAACCCCCGCTATTGTCAGGGCATGTCAAAACTTCTCCAGGGCCAAAAAACACTCTCAGACCTCAGAGGGTTAAAAAAAAAAACTGTAGTGAACAGCTTTTCAGTTCTCTGTGGTGTATAAATCTCATAGTGAATGGATGTGTTGTTTCTGTGCTTACAGATATCGCCAATAAGGTGATGCTGGCTCTTTTTACCGGTGAGATGCTGCTGAAGATGTACAGCCTGGGCCTACAGGCCTATTTCGTCTCCCTTTTTAACCGCTTCGACAGTTTTGTGGTGTGCGGTGGAATTCTGGAGACTATCCTGGTAGAGACTAAGATCATGTCACCCCTCGGCATCTCTGTGCTGCGCTGTGTGCGTCTGCTCCGCATCTTCAAGATCACCAGGTATGTGTTAAAGACATGTATGTTTCATTCATTGTGGGGTGTGACTTTGTATTAATGCTGACTGTCCACTCTCAGGTACTGGAACTCTCTCAGTAATCTAGTGGCGTCTCTGCTGAACTCGGTGCGCTCTATCGCGTCCCTGCTTTTGCTGCTCTTCCTGTTCATCATCATCTTCAGTCTGCTCGGAATGCAGCTCTTTGGTGGCAAGTTCAACTTTGACGAGACGCGCCGCAGCACCTTCGATAACTTCCCCCAGTCTCTCCTCACCGTCTTTCAGGTTCTGCCACAGTCTGAACCACAGCACACACTCTTCGTGTGTCTTCAAACCTGACTCATGTTTGATTTGGATTTATTTTCTGATTGTAGATTTTGACCGGAGAGGACTGGAACTCTGTGATGTTTGATGGGATCATGGCGTACGGTGGGCCCTCCTTTCCTGGCATGCTTGTCTGCATTTATTTCATCATCCTCTTCATCTGCGGAAACTGTATCCTAAAACCTGTTTAAGACAACATTATGTGACAAAATAAAAGAGTTCATTATAAAACAGATATTTCTGTTCCTGAACTCTAAACAGACATCCTCCTGAATGTCTTCTTGGCCATTGCCGTGGACAACCTGGCAGACGCAGAGAGTCTGACATCAGCGCAGAAAGAGGAAGAGGAGGAGAAAGAGAGGAAGAAGCTGGCCAGGTTCAGTGACTCACAGTTCACATGAGTGCAATGCTTTGAGGTGGTCTGAGGGCCCGTAGAACCTTCCTATAAAGATTTCCTGCCCCCTGCCTGATGAGCTCATTAAGTGTATCGGTTATGACTTCATTAGTTTAACATTGAGGAAATTAAGGATCATTTTGCAGAAGTGTTTTTGTCCCTCTGAAGAGCTGTAAATACAGGTGCTTAGTGGGACCGTAAAGCTGCAAACGCACACATTCATGACACAATTTCTGTCTTACAGAACGGCCAGTCCAGAGAAGCGCCAGAACTCTGAGAAACCACCTCTGAAGGATGAAAAGAAAGAGGAAAAGATTGAACTAAAATCCATCACTTCTGATGGAGAGACGCCAACTGCTACCAAGGTCACTAGCAAGAGGCCACATAGAAACACAGATTAAGGGAACAGATTAATAGGAATATAGTGCACACAGCCTGGAGTGGCGACAGTGGCAACAAAAACATTATAAAAGACACTAATCTTATTGTTTATTGTATGTAATTAAAAAAATTACGTACAGACCACAGACAGAAATGCACAGATGCCAACTATTTTAAATTTTTTGTAATAATGAATTATTTTTAATTACCAATTTACAGTAATTTGTGGGGTGAATAATTATATTTTTAATTATATTGATATTATTAATGATTTATAATAAATATATTAAAACATTTTAAAATTGTTTGCTCTCTGATTTTAGATCAACATAGATGAGTACACAGGGGAGGAGAATGAGGAGAAGAACCCATATCCTGTGAACGATTTCCCAGGTGTGTTAAGAGAATGTGCTAAAAAAATACAGTTTTTTCATTAAAAAACTGAAGAAAGAGTCAAAAGCAATTCTACAGAAGAGCCCAGGCCTGTTTTATTCAGCTCTGGGAGCAGTCTATGTGAACTGTTTTTCGGTTGAGCAAAGGCGACTTTCTCTTTACTCTTGTTGAGTTCAACACATTTCCTGGTCCATGTCATCTTCACTTTTTTTTTTACAGTAATGCAAAGACGTGTGTGTAACTGTTGAGAGATGATGTGTCTGATGCACTTAGTGGAATTCTTTCCAAAAAATCTCTTTTGTCTTTTCAGCAGCAGAGGAGGACGATGAGGAGCCAGAGATGCCTGTAGGTCCTCGTCCACGTCCACTCTCCGACATTCAGCTGAAGGAGAAAGCTGTCCCCATGCCAGAAGCCAGAGCTTTCTTTATTTTCAGCCCCAATAACAAGTATGAAAACCACATATATACTTAAAGACCTCGATTTTCACATCAGTGGGTTATGTTACTTAATAGTTATTCAAAATCCAAACCCAAAAATGTCTCTCAAACCCATTTTTTCTGCTCTCTTTCTTCTGTAGGTTCAGGGTTTTGTGTCATAAGATTGTAAACCACAACATCTTCACCAATTTAATCCTGTTCTTTATACTGCTGAGCAGTATTTCACTGGCAGCGGAGGACCCAGTGAATAATGACTCATTCAGGAATCAGGTACACACAAACACATACTGACATGTACATCACATTTGTAGCGCTGCTGTTATGAGGCTTTGATATGTGCGCCTCTCTTTTTCTCTGCTAGATTCTAGGCTATGCAGATTATGTGTTTACAGGAATCTTCACCATAGAGATCATACTGAAGGTAAATTTACATTTTAAAGGTACAAGTGTCCCAGTTCATTTCATGCTAATCTTTCCTACTACAGCCTTCTCCGTGTTTCTTCCATACTCATCTAATTCCTCACTGACTCTCCATTTGTCCGCTCTTCCTCTCAGATGACAACGTATGGAGCATTCCTACATAAGGGTTCATTTTGTCGGAATTATTTTAATATTTTGGATCTGGTGGTGGTCAGTGTGTCTCTGATCTCCTCTGGAGTTCAGTAAGTACCTTTTTCCAAACTAACTGACAAACTAACCAGGGCTACTGCTTCTCATGTCACAAATAACATATTCAGTGTAACACTTTTTAATACCAATGTCCAATTAAATGCTATTTGTGTCTGGCCAATTCAGTGTTGTTATTGTTAACTAAAAGTAAAACTATTCAAAATATTTTTGGTAATTGAAATTAATCTGAATTAAAGTAAATTATAAATATTAGATGGAAAAACTTTAATGAAAATTGGAAACATTGCCTTGGCAACTAACTGAAATAAATGTAAAACGGTGAAGTATTAAAATAAAAAATGATTAAAAAAAACATTATTTTGACATTTTTAAATAATTGTAATAAATAAATTATCTTATAAAGCACATAACAAAATGACTAAAACTTAAACTAAAATTAAAATGAAAAAGTTAGCTCAAAATATTAATAAATACTATAATAGTATATAAAGAATACTCAAGATGCTGTCTTTATGTATGTATATATATATTAATATTCTTCTGATTATTGTTTAATTATTATAATAAAACAATGTTTTTTTTTTACAATTAATTTAGCCTTTGGTGCCAATGTAGAATTTTTTTGATTGCATTATTACTTAATCTATTAACGGAGTTGAACGGGGAAATGCATTTACCTCCTAATACCTCCTCTGCTGTCCAGGGGCATCTGCTTCTCTGTATAGTGTTTTGTTTAGGTCACATGATCAGTAATTAGCCGTTCTGATTGGAGGAGCTGAACTGTACTGTGATTCACAGGTCAAGTGCCATTAATGTAGTGAAGATTCTCAGAGTGCTGAGGGTGTTGAGGCCCCTGAGAGCAATCAACAGAGCCAAGGGCCTCAAAGTGAGTCTCTCTCTTTTACAAAAAAAAAAAAACTGTTCAGATGACTCTAACCTACACTTTCCATATAGTGTGATGGATGCGCTGAGCATTTATTTTAACTGAGAGCTTTGTTTGCATCCACAGCATGTGGTCCAGTGTGTGTTTGTAGCCATCCGTACCATCGGGAACATTGTCATCGTCACCACTTTGCTGCAGTTCATGTTTGCCTGTATTGGTGTTCAACTTTTCAAGGTAATTTGTGCTTTCTCACAACACGTACTTCTGTAAAAGAGCAAAACAGTGAAAGGTTTATACATTATTGCTGAAAATCTAGTTCTCTATAGAGAAAATGAATGGGATTTTAGTCCGGTTCTGTTGTATGTGCTGTTGGGACATTTGTGTTGTAAAATGTTCATGTGTGAGAACTGATGTTTGTTTTCTAGGGCAAATTCTTCTACTGCACAGACACCTCTAAACAGACACAGTCCGAATGCAGGTAACATCCCTCTTTCTTTGAGCACAAAGTTTACAGTAACATTTACATTAAAAAACAGCTCATTCATATGTATATGTGTGCACTGTGTGTGTGTATATTACAGGGGGTCCTATATATTATTCAAAGATGGGAATGTTGGGAAGCCAGTGAAATCACAGCGTTCATGGGAGAACAGTGACTTCAACTTTGATGATGTCCTGCAGGGCATGATGGCTCTGTTTGCCGTGTCCACTTTTGAGGGTTGGCCAGGGTGCGATACACAAACACACTCAAACTTGCTCACACACATACTTCTTCTTCACACATAATTCTTAAATATACATGCAAGACAGTAAGCTCATTGGCTGCATATGCAGCATGAACCAATCAGCTTGTGCCAAGTCGTTTAACTCTCTGAATATCATCAGTTACGTTAACACCCCGTCAGAATGCAAATAAGATTTTTCAGCAGCCATTACTCCAGTATTCAGTGTCAGATGATCCTTCAAAAATCATTCTAATATGGTTATCTGGTCCTCAAGAAACATTTCTTGTTAATATTTTTCTGGAAACAGTGATACAGTTTCTTGTGATTCTTTAAATATAAATGAACATATATTAGTTTCTGAAATGAAATATATTCATAAATGTCTTTACTGTCACTTTGGATCAGTTTAATGCGTCCCTGCTGAACAAAAATAAACTTTTGAATGGTGCACAATCACAAAACAACAATTTCTGTAGTCGATGCCAATACATGTGAGATTTCATGTTACCAATTTCTAAAAGCTAATATTGAACCAACTCCGTAAATACTCTATAAATATTACTATAAATTAATTAATCATTTTAAAAGCAGTGTTTCAAGAAGCTCTCTGTTCTCCCACAGGCTCCTCTACAGAGCCATTGACTCCCATGCAGAGGATGTTGGTCCAGTCTACAACTACCGTGTGATCATCTCTATATTCTTCATCATCTACATCATCATCATTGCCTTCTTCATGATGAACATATTCGTAGGTTTCGTCATTGTGACATTTCAGGAGCAGGGAGAGCAAGAGTACAAAAACTGTGAGCTGGACAAGAACCAGGTAGACTGGTGACAATATCTCTACAGGAACACAGAGAGTGTTTAAAAGTGTAACTCTAATTATATCTCCAAACATTTCTGTGTGTGTACAGCGGCAGTGTGTGGAATATGCCCTGAAGGCCCGTCCCCTGCGCAGGTACATCCCCAAGAACCCGTATCAGTACAAGGTATGGTACGTGGTGAACTCTACCTACTTTGAGTATCTGATGTTCACCCTCATTCTTCTCAACACCATCTGCCTGGCCATGCAGGTCAGTATGCTCAGTAACTGAACTAATGCATAGAGTCAAATACACAAATCGAATCTTTAAAAAAAAAAAAATCTGTTTGATTATGTGTTTGCAGCATCATGGCCAATCTCAGTCATTCAGCAAAGCCATGAATATCCTCAATATGTTGTTCACTGGCCTATTCACTGTGGAAATGATCCTAAAACTCATCGCCTTCAAACCCAGGGTAGGCCCTGCATGTTTCACTGTACAGTATTATATGAGCAAAGCTGATTTAATGCCAAAGCGTTCTATTAAACAGTGAATCTAGATTTATTATTAGACTTGTGTCCAGGAACTTCTAAAGATTAAGTCTTTAAAAATAAATTGTATTTTATTATTATTTTTTTAAAATCTGATTTGAGATGATTAGACTACAAGCTATTCTTAAAATTGATGTCCCAATCTTACCCAGCATTCATTATACAGAACTTTATTAACAGTGCTTTGAAGTGTTTTTTTTTTTTTTCAGCCGTGTGCTGTTTAAGAACCAGTTATTACCGCTGTTCTCCAGGCTAGATGTTTTCTGTTTTTGTTTGTGTCATCAAATGCACAGTTTACAGTGGATAACACTCTGCCTATCTTCAGAAATGTCACATCTCACTTATTTAACCTATATGTCTTTGACCTGAAATGTTTTACTACAGTCACTAGTTTTGTCCCAGATGAGGACTGAAATGAATGTAACGTAAAATGACAGTCTCTCTCTCGCTCTTCTTCAGAAATGAGTTTCATCGCCTGCCTTACGACGTAATTCCATCAGTGTTTAAAGAGTTTTATTTCTCGCATAACTTGGCAGCCATTTCCAGTCCATTAAAGGTTTTCCTGCCCTATTAAGCACAAATCAGATATTGTAAAGATGGTGTCAGTAGAGATGCCATCCGCTCAGAATTCCTCACAGGGTGAAGCGACTTCCCATAGAGCCCCAAAAAAAACATATTTTCCTTGTAAACGAGAGCATCACCACAAATCAAAGAGCGTTTTCTTGTGGAAATGGACTTCTTTAATCAGTAATTTCCTGAAAGTCTATAGATGGGCTGATTTTGTTGTGCTGAATGGTGATTGGCTAACGAAATGCATTGTCGGTTGACTGTGCTCATGCATCATGGGTACGGCAGCGCTAGTGATGGTCAATTCTGCCTCTCTAACTGCCCTCTCTCACCCCTCCCCCCCACCTTCCCCTCGTCCTGTGTAGGGTTACTTTAGTGACCCCTGGAATGTTTTTGACTTCCTCATCGTAATTGGCAGCATTATAGACGTCATTCTGAGTGAGATCAACGTAAGTACATCGCCACCTCTCTCTCTCTTTTCCCAACTCTTTTGCTCTCCTGTCCATCTCTGCTGTCTTTCATTCCCCCCTGTGCTTCCTGCCATTCTCTGCTCCTGCTGTCTCCTCCAACTCTTCATTTCCTGTTCTGACGGCAAGATGGCTGCTGTGGCAGGTCGCCCTGTGGCGGTGAGAGGTTTATTTAGGGCACACGTGCAGGAGAAAAAGTGTTCGTACAGGAGAGTTTTTTGGTAGGCCCCGTGAAAGAGAGAGAGCCAACGTTTCTTTTCATCCTCCAGGCAGCGATGTATGTTGTTTTGCTGTAACTAACAATCACACCTGAACTAACCCAGGACCCCTGGCTGTTCTTTTCAGGATGGTTTTGATGGATGTTTGACTGCTGCTGTAGAGCATGACAAGGTCTCGGTTCATCATGGGATTCTCTGATTTCGTTTTGATTTCCTCACACCCCTCATTTGATTTTATGATTTTTTCCTCATGTCTTCTGTGAGTTAATTGTTCATGTGTAACTGTTTTCTTCCTTATTTTCTCCTCTCTCCTTTTCTTTCCTTTTTCATTTCTTTTTTATTTGTTGTTTTGTTGTTTTCTGTCCAGCATTATTTTGTTGATGCATGGAACACGTTTGATGCCCTTATTGTAGTGGGTAGTGTTGTTGATATAGCCATCACAGAGGTTAACGTAAGTAATCTCTCTCTCTCAATCTGCCTGCCTGCACCCCCTAACCCTCCCACACTAACAAAGATGAGTTGCTTTAACCCTCCACCCGCACACATAGGCATGAATGTCCTTGTATAGCACTCAGGGTGATATATTCCAGCTTCACAATCAATATAGACTGATAAACTGATTTGGAAATTGTTACATTAAGATGGATGGTCAATCTTATCGATGTGCCCTGTAATTCATTCAATGCTTATATAAATGTTTCTTTACTGTTGAATCAATTCATAAACCTTCAAACTAATTTTGAAAGAAGAGCCCAGATTTTCATCTGAAGAAACTTGTATTTCATATTGCTGCTCATTTCAAGGTTTTGTATCCACTTTCGTAGTATAATATTCACTTTTCTTCAGCTTTATAGGCCTCATTTAGATTGTCAACCAATTTGATCTGGTATGGGCTTGTATGTTTGTAAACAGCAATAGCGCATATGAGGTCAAAATATTTCTTAAACTTGTTACATATCAGCTAGATTGGCTGGGTTTAACCAGAAATCATCACTTGTGAAATGTAGCAAATATAAATTTTATTAATGTTGTAAAAAATTGGATGTGACAAAATAGTGCATCTGTGCATTATGCATGCTATGAAAATGCATCTTTAGATTCATTTTTAAATCTTTAGTTTATATGTGGCAGTCGTGACTTTGCCACTTTGTTTTGATGTGCAGGTACTATTCAAAACTATCATTCAAAAGTTTAGTGTCAGTAAAAATGTTGTGTGTGTTTATGAAACAAGTCTCTTATGCACACCAATGCTATATTTATTTGATAAAAAATACAGTAAAAACTGAAATGTGAAATATTATTACAATTTAAAGTAACTGTTTTCTATTTGAATATTTAGGGCCCAAGCACCAATGGTGCGAGGACCCTATTGGAATTGCTCCTTCTTCTTCTTCTTCTCCAAAGCGAATCGCATTTTTGAGGGCCTAAACATGCTCGAAAATTCACGAAACTTTGCACAGACATCAGAACTGGCGAAAATTTACATCTGATATGGGTTTCAGAGTTGGGCATGGCAAAATGGCTCGATAGCGTCACCGATAAAATTTCAGCGAAGTGCCCCTCCTGCTACATTTCACGTACGTGTACGAAATTCAGTACATTCATGTGATGTCCCAATACCTACAAAAAAGTCTCTTGGAACGAAGTCCTAAATGCAACAGGAAGTCTGCCATTTTGAATTTCCTCTATGATTTTTTTTTGCCATTTTCATCTTTGGATCATCTTCAAATTTGGTGAAAGTAATTATAAGGGTTTTGAGATGCTAAATTGTGAAGATCTTGAGTTTTCATTGTAGGGTGTGTCCCTGGCAGCCTGACAAATTTCGATGTTTCGCCATGAAGCAGGAAGTTGCTGTAACTCAGGCAAACAATGTCCAATTTGCCTCAAACTTCACACATTTGATAAGAGTTCTGTCCTGAACACGTCCATGCCCATATTCAGTTATAGTCATAGTGCCACCTGCTGGCAACAGGAAGTGGCACTTGTTACTTGTTACTCTTAGTTCACTTCCAGAATAAAAATGTCCTGATAATTTACTCACCCCCATGTCATCCAAGATGTCCATGTCTTTCTGTCTTCAGTCGCAAAGAAATTAAGGTTTTTGCGGAAAACATTCCAGGATGATTTGCTGGTCAAGTAACATTTTTTTTTTGAACATTAAAGCATGTCAACATATTCTGTTACACCAAATACACAAAATAATGATCTTTAAAAAAGCATCATATGACCCCTTTAAATCAATCTCGGAAGCAGTTGAGCTGCCTAATATTTTTCTGGAGAAAGAAAGAAAGAAAGAAACCTTAATGCCCCCAAACTTTTGAATGGTGTATTTTGGATTTTCAGTTTTATTTGTTACTCTTTATTAGAAAAAGTTTAAATACAAGACTACAGCTCTATGTAAGTTTTCATTTTTAACAACTTAAGGAGTTTAAAAGATCAAAATGTGTTAATGAAGGTTATTTATGATTGACAGCAGTTGTGCTGGAGATATACCCCCTGTTTTGCTATACACATCCATTTCAGCACTGACTGGGTTTGATTTGGTTGGAGTTTTCTCTTCATCCAGCATCTGATTTGATCTGAAGGCATGACCTTTGACCCAGCATTGTGTTTGGATTGATTTTGTTTCCCCCTTTTCTTTCCTTTGAGAAAACTCTGAGCACTTTTTTCTCATGCTTCATTAACCTGTTAATTGATCTGATTACTGATCTGAAATGAAACTGATGAATCCGTGCTGATAGCCAGTCCCTCCTCTCAGTGCTACAAGGAGATTAGAGTGGAACCGGACGACTCTGTTCTCCCTTAGAAAAGCGTTAATGTCACCCCTCCTCCCCCTGAGGCTGCTCTGCTCCTCTCAGTGCTTTGTCCTCCCTGCCTGTTGGAGGCGCTCTCTGATTCGCGGTGTCTAATTGGACAGAAGCGGGGGGTGGAGAGATGGGAGTGTTTGCCAGCTCTGTCTTGCTGACGATGCCACATTGCATCCTTCTCTAGAATGCCTCTTCTTTTCTGTCTCTATGTTCTGCATTTTCCTCCCTGTTTTCAGTGTTTTTCCTCTGTCTCTTTTCTCTTTCTTTCTTACACCCGCACATTATTCTTGGTAGGCCTGCTCCCTGTGTCATTAGCTGTTCACCATCTGATAGGACCATAACCACTGAACTTAATTGGCTAAGCCAGTTATGAATATGATGTATTCAAATAACTTCTGTTGACTGACAGGGTGATCTCATGAAATGATGTTTTGTATGAAAAAATATTTGCATATTTTTTCATATTAAAAAAACAATAAATTTCATTAAAAAACCTTAAGAGAAGCAGCACACATGATACTGTAATTAAAATCATCTTGGCAAAACAATGATTTACATGAAATACAGTGCAAATGATTTATATTTTTACATTAAATATGAAATAATTTATTTAGAATACATTTTAAAATATTTTAATATTCATTCATTTATTTATTGGATTTTTTTAAATTACAGTAGGTTACTCTTAGGTGGGGAAGTGAGTTTAAATTTGCTTAATTGTCATAAAAAACTATTATAGTTTTAATGACAATTAAGCACATTTAAAGCCTACAATCCAAGACATCTTAATACTCCTAAATAAACTCTCATTTATATAATGTAATATAATGTAATATAATATCTGTTATTATTGTTGTTATTGTTAATAATAATAATAGTTAATAATTAACTTTATTTATTTGTAGGATATATTTTTTTAATTGCAGTAGGCTACTCATAATTAGAGGAAGTGGGCTTATGTGTGCTTAATTGTCATAAAAATATATTATTTTCATTATAATCTAGCACATTTAAACCCAACAGTGCAAGAAATGGTACTGGTCCTAAAACAGGCTCTCGCAGTCTAATACAAACTATGAGGCGTCTCCCCTGCAAAAGACCCAACACACTGACGGACACTTTACCACACATATTCCTACACAAACACACACAGGTGTACAGTGGGTGGTTGGCGCTGCTATAGCTTTCATCTGTCTGCCTTTCTTTAAAGCCAGCTGACCCCTCCTCCTCTCCCCCCTCCTCTGTGGTAAGACCAATGGTACGGACCAACGGTAACCAAAACCCCACCTCTCATTCCACCCAGTCACCTTGTCGACCTGTCCATCAACACCTGTCATTCACCATGTGACTTTGGCATGAACGCATGTGTTCTCTCTCATCATTGTGGCATTGGGCAGGCACGTGTATATGCTGGTAGTGTGTCCATCGCCTCGACCTCTCCCCTCCCCTAGGCTGCGATGCCTGTCATTGGTGCGCTGTAGTCACATGGTCATCGCTCTCTCTGTGTGTAGTCCAGTGTCGGCCTCTGCTGGTCAGCTCTGGTGTGACAGTTCACAACCGACGTGGCAGAGCTCTGAAATCAGCTAGGGCTTGTGAAAATACGATTTCCTGTGCGATGTCCACATGCATGAAGCTAATTCTCAGTTTTGCTTGGTTTGTGTGATGTGTTTTTATAGGGCATGTGTGAGAAGATGTAGGTGTTAGAGATTTAAAGGTGCACCGAGTCATTTTTTTTCATGTTGTGCTTATACTGACACCTAGTGGTGTGGATGCAGTGCCTTACCAAAGAAAAAAATTTACCGATGCCATTATAGAAATGCTCAATTCGCAGAATTTATTCCACAAGCGGAAGTTTCAGATAACAGGGGTCTTGCCAAGATAAAACCAATAGTATTTGGTTAGTCATGTGATCTCAAAATGGCGGCTCCCATGAGGTGACCCTCTCCGTGTAAAACAAAACTGCTTTTGGGTGACTGATATGACTGCTGAGTTCATTTTAGATAAGTGATGATTTTAAGCACATTTTTTTAAAACTACAATTTATTACAATACAGTACAATACAATTCTATGTGTAGAAACTTTTTAATGGGGGGGGAAAAACGACTGAGTGCACCTTTGAAATAGAAAGCCGCAGCTTTGTGTATATGTTTAGATTACATAACTAAAGTAAAATATCAGATTTTAAAGAAGCGCAAACAAATGGATTAGCCCATTTCTGCCACATAAGAAAACAATAATGCTTTGGTAAATCATAATTTTGACAAAATTATAAGATAGGAGGTCATTATGAGATAAAAACCAAGATAAAAAATTATGACATACTAAGTTATGCATTAAAAAGTCTAAATTGACATACTAAGTCAGTTATGAGATAAGTCACAATTATGGCCTTATAGTCATTATAGACATTATAGACTTTGTCAATGTCGACTTATCTCATAATTTCGACTTTGTCTTTTCAACTTGTCATAATTGACCTTTTATCTCATAATTGACTTACTATCTCATAATTTCGATTTTTTTTTGTCATAATTTGGACTTTGTATCTCATAATGACGTTTAATGTCATAATTATAATTTACAAAAGCATAACATCTGTAAACATATGTGGTTTAGTGTCTGTGTATGTGACACATACACAGATTCTAATATCACCTGTGAAATTTAGTGTTAAATGTTTCAATGACAGGTTAGTTCTATAGGGTATTTATTAAGTATATATGATTAGCTGGAAAGATTGTTACTTCAGGGGTGTTGTGTATTGTGGTAGACATCTATAAATGCTTTGCATCCATTTGGAATATTGTCATTGTTTCATAAAGCCACCAGACATCCTCTGTGTCTCTGTAGTTTGCTATTGGTGGAAGTGTTTAACATGCTGTTGTAGACATATTAACTTGATTGTGTGTGTGTGTGTGTCATCTTGAATTGTTCTGGTTGGTGTACAATATGTGTGTGTGTGTGCCTCTCCATGAACACGCATATGTGTGTGTTTGTCATGCTGAAAAAGGGCCTCCAAAACACTGAAGATAACGCCAGGATCTCAATCACGTTCTTTCGGCTGTTCCGTGTGATGAGGCTGGTGAAGCTCCTGTCTCGGGGAGAGGGCATTCGGACGCTGCTCTGGACCTTCATTAAATCCTTTCAGGTGAGGAGAATAAAAATTAGACAGCACTTGTGTAATTGTATAGAGAAGGTTGTACTGTGGTCCAGACTTTATGCCCAAGTCAAAGTCAGACTTTGTGAGCAATTAAACACCAGCAGACAATCTAATAACAGACTAACAAACATGTTTGTGTTATTATATGGCTACACTGGATGCAAGCAGCATGTTGTGACAATAAAACCTGATTGTTTGCATTATAATCAACAAAACCATCTACACGGCATGCTCTAGTCAATTGATGGCCTGCCGCTTTTTTAACCTGTTTTTCTGAAATAAAATGATCAAATGTACAAAAGTTTGGTCTGTTGTCTGTAAAAATAAAATAAATAATAATTTTTTTTTTATTCAGCAATGCATTTAAATGCATTAAAATGATCAAAAGTGATAGTAAATAATGTTATAAAATATTTGTATTATTAAATCCAATTTTTTGTATTTTATGTTCATCAAAGAATCCTAAAAATGCATGTCAGTTTCTACAAAAGTATTAAAGGTTTTCAACATTGATAATAATCAGAAATGTTTCCTGAGCACCAAATGAGCATATTAGAATGATTTCTGAAGGAGTAATGACAGCTTTGCCATCACAAGAATGAATTACATTTTAATATGTATTAAAATAAACAAACTTATTTTAAAGTGTAATAATATTTCACAATATTACTGTTTTCCTGTATTTTTGATCAAATAAATGCAGCCTTGCTGAGACTTTCAAAAAATCAACCCCAAACTTGGTATTGTACAAAAAAACAACAACATATGCATGCATTAATCATATGCGTGCATTGAATTTCATCATATATTTAAATACAATTTTATATCTAAGAAATATAAAAAATATATATATATTTAAAAACATATTTTACTTAAAAAATATATCTTATTTCTAACTATACATATACACTTTTGTTGCTATAAAAATGTTTTTAAAAATAGTTATTTGACTATAGGTCATGTGGCTGTTGAAATGAAACATTTATATTCCTGCATTTTGTGTTTGTTGTGTATATTTAATCGTTCTTCTTTTCCCTTCTCCACCTCCCTCGGTTTGTTCACAGGCTCTTCCCTATGTTGCTTTGCTGATCGTAATGCTGTTCTTCATCTACGCCGTCATTGGGATGCAGGTCAGGCCCAGCTTCATTTGCTTCACACTCTCTCCACATCTTCCCCATGGAAATGTCTCCATGGCTTCTATAGCCCCTGTGCTTGTACTTGGACATGTTGGCGTTGAGCGATTCATGAAGGATAATGTTTTTTCTGACTCCACAGATGTTTGGTAAGATTGCCCTGAGGGACAACAGCCAGATCAACCGAAACAACAACTTTCAGACGTTTCCTCAGGCTGTTCTGCTGCTCTTCAGGTCAGTTTCCCACTTGCTTTCTTTCTCTCGCTTTCACTCGTTTAATGTCTCTCTCTCACATTGAGCTCGTGTATTTCTGTAGGTGTGCAACAGGGGAGGCGTGGCAGGAAATCATGCTGGCCTGTTCTCCGAACCGCCCGTGTGAGAAGGGGTCAGAGGTCAACCACAACAGTGAAGACTGTGGCAGCCACTTTGCCATCATCTACTTTGTTAGCTTTTATATGCTTTGCGCCTTCCTGGTGAGTCGACATCGGTATTCCTTCCCAGTAAGCAACTGTGTTATTGTAAATCAGCTGTGAAATTTGTTGTGAAATCATCTCCACCAGCATGACATCCTTTACCCCCTCCGCACAATGTTTACCGTATCCATAAAAACAGAAGCAGCGGGTTTCCTTAGCATAAGATGATTCAGATCCTTCCTCTCCCACAGATCATTAACCTCTTTGTGGCCGTCATCATGGACAACTTTGACTATTTAACACGTGATTGGTCGATATTGGGGCCGCATCACCTGGATGAGTTTAAGAGGATATGGGCAGAATACGATCCTGAGGCCAAGTCAGTCACTTCATGTTTTGCCATCTTTCACACATCTGCTCTATCCCATTCTAGATTATTATTAGTAGTGACTGAAACTGAGATCTGAGTTTAATGTGATTGCAGGGGTCGGATAAAGCACCTGGATGTGGTGACGTTGCTGCGCAGGATTCAGCCTCCCCTTGGATTTGGAAAGCTTTGTCCACATAGAGTGGCGTGCAAGGTACAAACACAAATCCTAAAATGTGCTAATTCTGTAGTGCGTTATACACATTACTTGACTTACTTTATCTGTGCATCTGCAGCGGCTTGTGTCCATGAACATGCCTCTCAATAGTGACGGGACGGTGATGTTCAACGCAACTCTCTTTGCTCTGGTACGAACGGCTCTACGCATCAAAACTGAAGGTGTGAAAATGTCGTACACATAAACATGCATAAAACCAATTCACATGCCAACATACATGCACAGAAAAGTCACTGTTTGTATTTGTGTGTGTCAGGTAACCTGGAGCAAGCAAATGAGGAACTCAGGGCCATCGTGAAGAAGATCTGGAAGAGGACGAGCATGAAGCTGCTGGATCAAGTCGTTCCCCCTGCTGGAGGTGGGTGGTGGCAAAAGGTCAACCATTACATTCAAAAGTTTGGGGTCGATAAGATTTTTGTTTTCAAGTGTTTTTGAAAGAAGTCTCTTGTTCTGACCAAGACTGCATTTATTTGGTCAAATGTACAGTAAAAACAGTAATATTGTGAAATATTAATACAATTTAAAATAAATGTTTCCTCTTTTAATATTTTAAAATGTAATTTATTCCTGTGATTGCAAAGCTGAATTTTCAGCAGGCATTACTAGTCACATGATCCTTTAGAAATCATTCTAATATGCTGATTTTGTGTTTAAGAAACATTTCTTATTATTATCATTATTGAAAACAGTTGTGCTTAATATTTTTTGTGAAAAACGGATACTTTAAAATTTTTTTAGGATACTTTGATGAATTCAAAAGAACAGAAATCCTTTCTAACAATGTACTCTGTCACTCTTTCAGTTTAATGCATAACTGTTGAATAAAAGTGTTAATTTCTTTTTAAAAAAAGCACTGACCCCAAACTTGTGTAGTGAAAACAAAACAAAGGTGTTCAAGTTCTCTTCTCCTATCCCAACACTTCAAGAAGCTGTCAAGTTTATCTTAAAAGTTTGAAACAATATATTTATGAACTAAAATAACAATGCAGGAAGCAGCATAACTTCTAACCAGCACAACGAACAAAACCTGAGTGTGTGTTTCCTTGCCCGACAGATGATGAAGTAACAGTGGGGAAGTTCTATGCCACATTCCTGATTCAGGAATACTTCAGGAAATTTAAGAAGCGCAAGGAACAGGGCCTGGTGTCCAAAATTCCTCCAAAGACTGCTCTTTCACTGCAGGTGGGTACATAAGACCATCAGCTATAACAGAAAAATGTTTTGTTCACATATGAATGTGCCTATTTGTGTGTGTTGTGACCAGGCTGGCCTGCGTACACTGCATGATATGGGTCCTGAGATCAGAAGAGCGATATCAGGAGACCTGACTGTGGAGGAGGAGCTGGAGAGAGCCATGAAGGAAACCGTGTGTTCTGCATCTGAGGATGATATCTTCAGGGTAAAGGTCTGATATTGCCTCTTGTTTCCTCTCCTCCGCTCTTCTCACATCATCGCTTCTGCTGCCGGAGCTTCTGCCCACCTGCATGGGACCATCAGCCAGATCTTCAAACCAACCGGGCTGCGAAGGGTCACAGAGCTGCTTGTTTAGATTCTTTGCTCCACATTGAGGGCTTAGAATAATTTTTTTCATTTGTTATTAGGACAACAAAATCATTATGTTCACATTAAGTTCATAAATGTGTCAAATTGCATAAGCTTGTCAAGTAAAAGTATCAGAAATCATTAAGGAACAGCGCTTTGCCCTCATCACACAGATCAGATGGTTATAAATGAGTGTTAAAGGAAAATCCAAATAGCTCTATTAAGAATTAGTCATCAGTGATGTTAAAGTACATTTATAGACAGTTTAGAAAAACCTAAAACAGTGTGTTCTTAATATCCTAATGATTTTTGGCATAAAAGAAAAATCGATCATTTTGACCAATACAATGTTTTTTTGGCTATTGCTACAAATATACCCCAGCGACTTAAGACTGGTTTTGTGCTCCAGGGTCACATTTGGCCCGTTTACCTTGGTATTAACATTCGATCACTAATAGACACTAAATACAGCTGAAAAAGAGATGGAATATGTCCTTAATGCTTAGGGCTTCTGTATCATAAGAAAATGCCCAGGCAAACATGTACATGTGAAAGACATGCTGTATGTAGTCATTGAAATCTACTGAAAAATCACTGGAGTTGTTAATAGCAGGTGTGAAGGGGGAGGGATGATGAGGTTTGCGTAAATGTGATCACTTTCATGCGTATATTTGTCTTTGCAGCGGTCTGGCGGTCTCTTCGGTAACCACGTCAACTACTACCACCAGAGTGACGGCCACGCCTCCTTCCCACAGTCCTTCACAACACAGCGGCCGTTGCACATCAGTAAATCCGGGAGTCCCGGCGAAGCAGAATCTCCCTCTCATCAGAAGCTCGTCGACTCCACCTTCACTCCGAGCAGTTATTCTTCCTCAGGATCCAACGCAAACATTAACAACGCCAACAACACAGCCATCGGACACCGGTACCCCAAACCTACCGTCAGCACAGTGGACGGACACACGGGGCCGCCCCTCACCACCGTCCCACTACCACGGCCCACATGGTGCTTTCCTAACAAGAGGTATGATGACATATGCTTTCTGTAGTGGAATGCAAATGTGCGAGTTAGTGGGGAGATGTTCAGGTTTGTCAGAATCTGGTTCCTGATTGTGGTTTGTCTCGCCCCTGGTTGTCTCATGTGGACCAGGAGCTGTTTCTATGACACTTTCATGCGGTACGTTCCTCACACAAAGACCAAAAGAGACCTCATCACTTTGGAGGGCTGTCGTATGCTCTGTCCATACTGGGGTGGATCTGAAGCTAAATGTGTGCAACACACACAGATCCACTCTAGCATTAACTAGCAGGATCTGTGAGCGGCTTTCCTGATTGGCTGACAGCTAAATGAGCATGTGCTAGGCCAGTGGTTCTTAACTGGTTTTACTGTCAGAACCCAGATTTTACGTTCTCAGCAACAAATCATTTTTTTGAAGCGTTGTTCATGTTATTCTTGATGATAAGGGCATGTGAAACAACACATTTATGTTGGCATCTACCTAATCTGGACGTTTCTACAAAGAACTCAGACAAAATAATTTGTTTAAATTAAATTTAATTAAAATTTAAAATTAAAATTAAAAGAAAAATCTTTAAAATAATTTGTATTCATTGAAATAAAGCAGAAATAAAATATAGCTTAACTTAGATAAATAACTGAAATAAAACATGTTCTATTTTAAGTGCTAAAATGATTCAAACTGAAATAAAAAATGTAACTATACAAACAAACTAATAAATAAGTCAAAAACACACAAATTACACTTAAATGTAAGCTAAAAATGTAAAATCTAAATTAAAATGAAAATATAAAAAGCTAATTCAAAATATTAATAAATACTATAATATATAATAGTATATATGTATAATAATATATAAATAATACTAAAATAACAATACTGACAGATTAATTTTGTGGCAAAATGAAAAAAAATTATAAAAGCACATACAATTACTAAATTACTTAAAATGAAAATATAAAAAGCTAATTAAAAATACAGTAGTAATACTAAAGGAACACCACTGACAGATTCATTTATAGCAAAATCCTGTAGAGTTTGATGGAATGCAGGCCTTTTGACATCAACAAAAACAAATGGGATGAGCCTTTTTATTTTATAATATGAAGTTGTAGCCTGTTCATCATAACTAAGCATGTTCAAATGGTTAGTTGTATTAGTTTTCATATAGTTTTTCACTTATTCTCCCCTGCTATCAGAACAGACCTCAGTCTCACCAGTTAAGAACCGCTCTGCTAGTCCATGTGCTTGTTTGTGTTGAAGCTCATTCTGCTGGTCATTTCCAGGCTGTACTGGAGGGGCTCTTCATTTAGACCCAAATACAAAAGCATCAATTTCACAAGCAGCTCTGACTGCTATTAAACTGGATGTACTACATCCATTTTTGTGCTAACAGATGCATCACAAATCATAAGAACAGGATATGCACTTATTTCTGTTAGAGGAGCTCCAGTCTTTATGAAGTGCCCCTTGACAAACCTTTTCTCCTCTTAAATCTAATATCATAAGGTTTCTCTGCAAAAATAATAACAGTGCTTCTGTAATGTGACACAAGCAGTTAAACCTGTGCTGTAAGCTTTGTTAGACGTCATCAAACCTTAAGCTGCTATAATTGAATGTGTTCACATTATAATAGCCTTATGAGAGCTTGAGGAGAGAGTAACCGCTGTTATCTGTATAGGTGAGCTTTCCTCACTTTCTGAAGCCTTCTAAAGAGCAGACGATGAAGATGTGCTATATGCTTCTAGTTCACCTGTGTGTTTTGATGTTTTGTGTAGCTCTGATTCCAGTGACAGTCGTCTCCCTATAATACGGCGAGAGGAAGCATCTACAGATGAGACGTACGATGAAACATTTCTAGATGAGCGAGATCAGACCATGCTCTCGATGGACATGTAATACTTCATTCTTCTGTTTTCATTCATATCAGAATATTTAATACAACAATAAACCACAGGAGGGCGTGAGATAGTTTAATGCATGACCTATAGTAGCTTATTTGCTTTCTATAAATTGGCAAAATGGCTTACTAGAAGATGCAGAATCTGACCCCCTCGCCCCCTAATATTAATAGTGTCTTCCAAACAGTGGTCATAATGGTCCCAAAAATAGAATTCATTTGATTTGATTTCATTATATATAAATTTGGGGTCAGAAGATTTTTTTTGAAAGAAATGAATACTTTTATTCAGCAAAAAATGCATTAAATTCATCAAAAGTTACATTTATAATGCTACAAATGATTTCTATTTCAAATAAATTTTGGAAAATGTAACTTTCAATTAATCATATACAATTTTATTTTTTTTTAATTAGCAGCATAATGTTTTCAACGTTGATAATATTAAGAAATGTTTCTTGAGCAGCAGTTCAGAATATTAGAATGATTTCTGAAGGATCATGTGACACTGAAGACTGGAGGAATGATGCTGAAAATTCAGCTTTGCATCACAGGAATAAATTACATTTTGAAAAGACTCATTTTAAATCGTAATATTTGACAATATTGCTGTTTTACTGTATTTTTGATCAAATAAATGCAGTCTTAGTTAGCATAAGAGACAGCTTTCAAACTAAATCTTTTCAACCTTTGTAAAATATAATTTCTTTTTCTTTTTGGGGGATACATTTTGGCCCAAACTTGACAGTTTTGTGAGATTCTGGCTCCTAGACAGAATTATATTTTAATGTTCTGAATGTGTTTGCGGGATGCAGGATGGAATTTCAGGATGAAGAGAGCAAGCAATTGGCTCCCATGGAGGAGGCGGATGTAGGGGAGGAGAGGAGGCCGTGGCAGTCTCCACGGCGACGGGCCTTTCTCTGCCCCACTGCACTGGGTACATACTCACACACACATTCATTACAGTTAATACAGATCAGTACAATCATTAGTTTCGCTTCAAATGTGACGTTGAAGTCAACTGCATATTTGCTTTTCAACACAGGTCGACGGTCTTCCTTTCACTTGGAGTGTCTGAGAAAACATAACAGACCTGATGTTTCGCAGAAAACAGCACTACCACTGCATCTAGTGCATCATCAGGTAAACTTATGCGTGCGCACACGCTTGACAAAGTTTTTTTTTTTGTCCTTTTCACTTACTCATCTTCTGGTTTTCAAAGGCTCTGGCTGTGGCAGGGTTGAGTCCCTTGCTGAGACGGAGTCATTCTCCGACACTGTTCACGCGTCTGTGTTCCACACCTCCTGCGAGTCCCAGCGGCCGCGGCGGGGGAGGCCCGTGCTACCAGCCCGTCCCGTCTCTGCGGTTGGAGGGCAGCGGATCTTACGAGAAACTCAACAGCAGCATGCCATCTGTGAACTGCAGCTCGTGGTACAGTGACAGTAACGGCAACCACAGCCGGAGCGTGCAGAGGACGCAGCGACCCGTATCCCTCACGGTTCCTCCGGTCACACGCAGAGACTCCATATCCCTGGCTCATGGGAGCGCCGGCAGCCTCGTGGAGGCGGTAAGCCAGAGTTTTTTCTTATGCACTGAGCCAGCAATTTTCATATCAGTAGCTCTTACATACACCAGACTTAATAGTTTTGTTCCTATATATATTCTGAAGGTTTTTAGAGATGGGTTTGTTCATATAACATTCGCCTGACTTATATAACAAGTTATTCTTAAATATGGGAATTTTTTTCTGGCTGTTTACAGTATTTTCTGACTTATGGAGGGATAAAAAAGGATATCCAAAATCCCCTCTGTAAAAACATTTAACTCTAATAAGTCATCAAAAAATGAAATTTTGAACATGGCTTTGTCCAAATGTCCAGATTTCTGTTCTGGAAATGATGACTGTGATTAATCAAGTGTTGAAAGTATTTGTGATATTTATTAGTTACATTGTTGTAACCATATTCACCTACACCACACAAAAAAAAAATTATACATAGAACTTTTCCATTGCACAAAAGCTTCTATCGAGCGAAGAGTTTATTTAGATTATCAAAATGTTCCTTACACTAAGAAAAGAATGGTTTTCTTCACTGCAGAAATGGTTCTTCTATGGCATCGCTGCAAAAACACTCTTAAGGAGTCTTTCATTTTAAGAGTATAAAGTGTTGAAAAGTTCTCATTCGTTCTTTGCTCAGGTGTTGATATCCGAGGGTTTGGGTCGCTATGCACAGGATCCCTCCTTCATCCAGGTAGCGAAGCAGGAACTAGCGGACGCCTGCGACATGACTATGGAGGAGATGGAGAACGCTGCCGACAACATTCTCAACGCCAACGCGCCGCCCAACGCCAACGGAAACCTGCTGCCCTTCATACAGTGCAGAGACACTGGCTCCCAGGAGTCCCGTTGCAGTCACACGCTGGGCCTCTCGACCGCCACGGGCTCCGACGAGCTGCTGGGGGTGGAGTTAGAGTGCTCCGAGGGGAACAGCACTCTGATGGAGGACGAGGACATGGAGTGCGTGACCAGTTTGTAGGGGGAACAGCAGCAGAACGGAGGACTTCCTGTGTCTTAGCCCAGCTCTCTCTGAGGACACTGCTGTCCTGCAGTCTGACCTGTCTGTTTGTTGCGAGTACCTACTGTAGGGGTATAAGGCCATTCTGCTTAGCTGAGACCGAGTTGGTTTTTAGTTCGTCTGTGTGTTTGCGAGAGCACGAGCGAGTAGGCGTGTGTACATGTTTGTGTGTGCGTGTTTCTAAAGTGCCTCACAGTTCTCACAACCTTGATTGCAGTAAGGAAACGAAACCCTGACCGAGCAGGGAATGAAAGGAAAAGATGCGCTACCGTTGCTCAAGCAGTGGGATCTGTCCGCCGGTGGGAGGATAGAGCGAGTTTGCGCTGACTTGTGTGTGTGTGTGTGTGTGGCAGTAGGACTCGACGGCCGAATCTTCGGCGTGGACGTGTGGTGCCGAGCAGGTGGATCTTGAGGACCGTGTCGGGAATTTGCCGCCCGGGTTCGAGAGATGTTCAGAGGGACACATTGGAGCGGCTCTCCATCCATCCATCCGTTCATCAGGAGAAGTGTCGTCTGCAAGCGCCCTCACGTCATCCTTCTCCTTTAAGGCTTTCTTTTGTGTTCAGTTGATGATTTGTGCTGCTTTTTGAATTTGATTTCTACCCACAATTCTCTAGTTAGCTTTTCTTTTAATCAGCGGAAGACTGAACTCCCTGAATTGCTCTCTTTCTCGTGTACCGTTATGGCTTTCAGGTAGCTGCTAGCTGTGCAAGGTACGGGTCATTGCATCAGTGGCCTTTTATTCCAGATCTGCTTCAGGTTTTATTTCCTTTTTTTATTTTCCAGCATTTAGTGTTTGTAATGTTGTTTATCTTGGATTGTACACAGATGAATGCTGTTTTTTTTTCTTAAATTATTATTATTATTATTGAAGGCGTTTAAGATGTTTATGCCAGATGCAGTGTTGTGAATCTAATGCCTCTTACAGACACAAAAAAAATATTTATTTATTTATTCCTGTCGGAGGTGAAGCGTGTTCTGCCGGGGGTTTATTGGTAGCTCACAAGCTGTAAATGAGCGCTGTCACTCTCCTGGACGCAGGTAGCACTGACGGCTCTCATGGCTGCTGTTGGATTGGACTCACGTTTGCTCTGAAACTACTGACGTTCCTTCACTGCTGATCTCCAGAAACATTCAGCCGACAGCTGCGATTCTGTCACGATCCCACCTGCTCGACACAGGGAACAGCAGATCTTCGGAAGGTCAGTAAAGGTGCACTTTGAGGAGAGGAAGGGTGGAGTATTCAGGGATGTCTGGGTAGCGCATCATTTAAAAAAACAAACTCTAATGTAGTTCACACAGGGCTAAATATATAACCATCATTATGAAAGTACCAACATCAGCAGTGTCATCATCATACAATGTTATTGATTGCTATTATTATGATTATTATTACTATTATTGTTAAGGATATTTTTCTGCTGGGTTTAGCACTGTTTCCATGCAGTTCGGCAGACACACAGAGAACTACTTATCAATCTATTATGCAAATAAGGTGTTGAAGCGTTAACATTGTGTTGGTAATGTGTTGGCGGGATGGAAGACGTCCCCTAAACACATGCGCTGATGAGAAACCTGACCAATCCACTTCCAGGCGTCTCTCTGTTCGTGCCACACTAGACCGGGTTAGAAGTTCTGTCACCGTTTTGCACACGACTTCAGACGATATGAATTTCTCTTTCCATGTATGAATAGATAATTATTTTTGTCTACACCGAGCGTCCTGGCGTTTTGTTCCAGGCCTCGAACATCGCATTCAATCTCAGTCTCCAGTCCTGCGCTGTTTTTTTTTTTTTTGGTTGAATGAGTTCCTGAATGTTTACAGGAGGTCTCTGCTCTGAGGATGATGCAAAGCTTGTGAAAAAACCGTGACAAATGTAGCCAGAACCCACCTGCTCTGTTCCAAAGCCGCCACCACACCCTCATATCTCCTACACACACGTGCCATATGTCATTGTGAGGCTGCCCCAGGCATATTTCGAGGCCTTGGTTGTGTACGTGTGCGAGTTTCTCCGTGTTTAGCATATGCAGAGTACGGAAACGAGCGTGTCTGTGCTAGTATATGCAGGATGAGTGCGTGAGTGCATGCGTATGTGCTTGCATACCACAAGATATGCAAAAACAATGCAATAACTTTGACTGTACAACAGTTTCCTTCAGAACTACAGCTGTACAAAACTCTAAGATACAGAGAGAAGTATATTCACTGTTGTGTATTAAGTTACAGAACTTTAAATTGAAGAAACCTGTCATACTTGAAATCGGGTGCATTTGAGTATTGAGTATTTTGAAATAATCTTGTGCGGGTCAGTTTGGTTTGATGTTTTTCTTCTGTTGGTTTCAATGATCTCTGCATGAGGATTCTTTTGGTGTGCCAAGCGTTTTGAGTAACTATTTTTTTGTTGTTGTTGTTGTTTTCATTTGAAACATTGAGGAAACACTGATGACGGGGAGCGAAGGTGTAAATACAGACTGAGGAGAGAAGCATCTCGGCGTGAAAATGATTTTGCATATCTTGTGCTCAGCTGAAAGGTGCATGATACGCAAGAGCAGCTCTCTCTCTTTCACCCTTTATCTTTTCATTCGCTCACCCTCTTTGTCCTTTCTTTGGCAGACATCACAGTGAAGGCGTTTTATCACGGCACCCGTGCGCCGGTGAACGGGCTCACTCTAAATAGTTGGTCATGCACATTAATTCTCGCTATTATTTGAGGCTGCAAGCGGAAACATTAGAAATCCCCTTTCATGACAAGCTGCATTCTGCGAGGAGATTTAGGTTGGAAATAATGGATTTGGATGCTATGCTTGAATTTTTGGGTCATGTTTGCATGGAATCTAAAGAATCGAACTAGCAGACGGAGTCCTCCTCTCCCTTCATTAGCCAATGATTGTATATTTTTATAGACTTATAGTAAATAATTAACACATGAAAAGAGACCATATAAAATCATCTATATATGCTGAATGTCAGGGCTAAAATGACTACACACAACCGTGTTTGAGAATGTATGTAGTGACTACATATAGATAGAAATTAAATTTATGATAGAGAAATATAGAGTAAATCATTCGTATTCACCGCAGTAGCTCCTTTTGAAACTCCGCTCGTACGGCCTGTTATTAAGCAGGATGGTTTGGTGTTTTTACTGAGGGAGGAGTGCAATGAGATTAATCATGTGATTTTGAATCCGAGGGCTTTTTCTCAGCTGCTTTATTCAGATCAACACATCACGTTCCCCTCCGAGCACCTGCACATGATAGAACAGTGTGGAAAAGCCACAAGCTTTCATGACACAAAAGCAGCGCCTGTGTTGAATGAAACTGCTAATGAATGAACACAGAGAGCTGTCTGCTCAGGCCTTGGGGAAATGTACCAAATATTTGACTGAATATTTTATTAGTTGCTCAGTGAGGTTTTTGCCCAAATGGTTGTAATGTAGTTTTTCTTCTCTCAGAGAATCAGAAGTTATTTTATATATTTTAAAATATGAGAAATATTTATCAGATGGAAGTTATTTCGCACTGGTTGGAGGGAATGTCGGTGACGTAATGGATGACATTTCAGCAGGGGAAGTGTAGGTTGCTCTCCCGATGGACTTTGATTGATTTTGGTTTGTATTTTGGTTTGCCATCTGTAGCAGTAGCGCACAAGTTTCCCCAATAGAAAAGCGTATATTGAAAGAAATGGTTTTATGTATGCATTTAATGCTTAATATTTTTGGAAATATAATACCCTCAGAAAAGAGTAAACTATCCATAGCAAATGAGCAGCATTGTTACAACCATTCAAGTTCACAACACATTACAGTAAAACGCAGTTTTTTTTTTATCTTTAGGGTGTTGTTTTGTTTGTTTGTTTGTTTTATTTGGATGAACCCAGTAATGCACGAACACAAAATGTTAGTGGATTTATTAAGGATGTCTGTAGTTCAAGTATCCGTTCGGGCCGTCCGGTGTTTCTGGGTTCATGCGTGTTCGTATGCCAATTCTGCACGTGTCAGACTGAAGGAACGTGCTGTGGGGTTGACCTTTGACCCAGAGAAAGCCTGGACATGTGCAATGTCTGCCCTCTGGTTTAACCTTTGTGTAGCACGTATCTCTAATGTCCTCCTTTATATGACTGTTAATTTGATATTATAAGTTAATGTAGTGCGTTAATGAGTTTTAATGATAAACTAAAAACTAAGGTGGTGATGCAATAATCCCAATTTGCACATTTAAACCACGTTTAGTTTGACACATCGTACACATAAATCCAAGTAAAGGATGAATTTATGCATAGATTTTAGCTGTCGTGTAAATACTAATTTCGCCCTAAGCTCAAAACATCAATCTTGCCATAGTTTCATTTCAACAGGTGGGACTATAATTAATTCAGATTTGTTCAGTGGGTAGGTGAATGCAAAACAATTTATATGAACCAATTTGAGGTTTTCGAGTGGCATTTCCCCGCTTCTAGTTCCACCCAGCGAATGTAGCACTAAGAGACAGAAGGAGATGGGCGGAACGGTAACGATTATGACGAGGAGCTCAAAGAGTTAATATTGCACAAATCTCCATGTATGAGTGAACCTTTTAACAACTTGTTCTTACCACATCCTGCTTTCTTTCTGCAGAGATGGAAGTAATGCTCTGTTTGCTGGCGCCGATCTCTGGGCTTGAATTGTTGGGTCTCTTTTTCTCTAATGGGTGGCAGGACTACTCACTCATCTACAGATGCAGCCCACAATTCTTCCTGTTATAGAGGCTGAAGCCCGAATCTGCATTACACTATTTTCCTGCGGTCGGAGGTGATTTGGTTTACGTTTAACAGCTTAAGACTCACGAAGGGAGGAATCTTTGAGCGGATCGTCTCAGTTGCTTTATTTTCGGTGACCACACGAGCAGCTTCTGTAGTCTTGATTGACGGTGCGGATGGGAAGTGTAGTCTTGAGGTCCTCAGCTGTTTGTTAGATTAACGAGCTGAATTAAAATTAGACGCGTGTCATGCTTTTGGTAGAATTCGAAGGCATCAGTGCTGACCATTCAGGTCTCTCACGAAACACCGTCAGAGGTCATTCACATTTTGGACTATTTAATGGAGTTTAGACCCCAGGTGTTATTGAAAACTGTGAGACGTCTGCATGGTCTGTCATTCCCTCCTCTACTTTTGCTGAGACTCTTTTGTTTCATTTCATCATTCTTTCATTTGTTCATTTAGATTTTAAAAAGAATACGCTACGTAAATCTGAAGATTCAATCACTTTTTCTACTCCTATTTTCAAAAAAAAGTGAAATGAAAAAAGCAACAAAAAATTGGATTTGTAAATAAGTGATTGTACAGTTTGTATCTGTATCTGTCAGTCTGTCTTTGGTGACAGAGTGTGTCTTGCTTATAACGCACGCTACCAGTAAATAAAAACTAAAAAATATCTTTAGATTGTATGGTTCTTGACAGGAAGTTTTAAATTAATCTCTGCTGTATATTCCTGTAATATTGCATTTTTATCTGAGGAATGATGTTATTAAACAATTGCAAATAAAGTGAATTTCCTAAGGTTTGTTTCTTCTGCATCTTATGAAGGATTTACAACAAGGTCCTCAGGTAAGATCTCACCTGACCAACGTTCTTCCAACTAGCAGAGCTTCTAGATACACAATTTCAATTCAGGTGTTGTTTTATTATGGTCACATCATGATATTGTAAATGGCAAATTATATTAAATCAAAATAGAAATCTAATAGATTTTTTAACATTAAAATCCAGAGTCCAGCCACTGGATCAGCATAATCTGCAGCTGTGAAAGAATTGATAGAAACGCAGCCTATGTAGATCATAATGCGTGTCTGCATACTTCCTGGGTTTCTGTTTAGCTGGACGTGTGCGTGTCCTCGTGGTCGATCAGCCGTGACTCTCCGTGATAAAGTGTAAAGAACAGATCTGGATTCAGTCCATGATTCACCATAGCCTCACGCAAACGTGCTGGAGGGTCAAGATAATGCTGAGAGAGAAACAAACAGAACGGAACAACATGTAATTATATACACACATTACTCTTTTTGGTTGGTAAGTAGTTTTTTTTTTTTTTTTACATATTTTTGAAAGAAGTCTTTTGTGCTCATCAAGACTGCATTTATTTGTCCAAAAATACAGCAAAACAGTAATACTGTGAAATATAATTACAGCTTAAATTAACTGTTTTCTACTGTAACTTATTATTTTTTTTAAATAAACAGAAAAAAACCCCTCTTGAAAATAGTGCTAATTTTGTCAGTCATTGTTAATTTAGTCTTAGTCTTAAACCCCTTTCACACAGTGCGCAGATCCCGGAAAATTGCCAGCATGCCTTTTAGTCTTTTTTTGGGTGTGTTCACACTTGTAGTTCAGTTCACTTGGTTAAATTTGGTCCGGACCAAAAAAAAAAAACCTTTTAGTCCTGGTCCGCTTAGCATTCACATTGGCATTTTAACACTGAACCTAAAGATACAGAACCTAAAGGCATAGGGATCCGTTCACAACCTGATTGGTCGGCTTTTATGTCAGATTTCGTGACCGAACATCCAAAACAATGCTTTGTGTTGGGCTAAATGCTTTTGAGAACTCGCGAAGAGCTCATAAAATGTGTAAAGGAGTCAAAACAGCGGCAGGAATCCCTCCGTCACACACACAGAGACGAAGCTGCGAGGAGACGTGGTTCTGATGCCTGTACCGAACTTTGATGGGCAACATCGCGACTATATGACTAGAAAAAACAGGTAGGCTTGAGCATTCTGTCCTGTTTAGGGTCGCATTTTGTGGCATAATGTCCTGTCTTTGGTCCGTGTTAACGTTCATATTTCATTCGAACCGCACCAGAGTTCGTTTGGAAGCGGACCGAGACCCACCTTTTAAAGCGGTCTCAGTCCGCTTGTTTGGTGTGCACCAGGGTTCGGATGGCAGCGTTCACACTTACTCAAATGAACCGCACTATCAGAGCAATCGCACCAGAGTTCGTTTTAAACGAACCAAACATGGCAAGTGTGAACACACCAGTCTTAGGGTGCTTTCACACTTGGTTCGATTGCTTGGTCCAAACCTGAGTTTGATTGATGTAATTATAATCGCAATGATTTTTGTCATTTGAGAAATTTATTTTTACATTTCAGGTATTGAACTTTCACCAATAAGCACAAATCATGTGGACTCGTACACATGGTTTATTTTACCTCATCTAGTGTACTGATTTATTATAAGCTATTTATTATATAAATTAATATTAAAGACTTAGATATGCACTCAATCTACATTATGAAAACTGGTAAAAACAAACAAAAAATAATTTAACAGTGAAATTCCTAATAGTAATTCCAAATTGCAATAATGTTTCTATATTAAAACAACAGTGGTGAGTAAGTGCATTTATTCAGCAACCACAATCACAAACAAAATAGTCAAGATCTCATGACAGAACACAGACTGGCTGAAAGATTTAAGCTAAAAATCTCTCATGGAGATCGCTAAACTCCAGATTACTTGTTTGTCTGCGTTTTCAGATCATCGTCGGCACTTCCGTAATGTCGAGCGAGCGCGTGCGCATTGTTGCCAGATTGAAAAAATTAAGCAAAACACTGGGCAGAAAACGTATCCTTTTAACAGACAAGCTCTGATTTGGGGATTTGAACTCTTGATATCTGGCCACCGCACACATGAAAGCTTGCATAGTATGTATGTAGGCTACAGCAGTCCGCAATAATATTTTGTCTCCTTTTTTCGACGAAAATAAAAAAAGATTTTGGTATAGTTTTTATTTTTTAAAATACATTTTAGTCTCGTCTATCATCATCCACGATATTGCATGTTGATATAGTCACAGTTATCGTTTATTGACCTTATTGTTGTCTCGTGTCTAAATGCTTCTTCAGCCAAGACTCTCCCTCAGAGGCATGAATACGTAGCCGCGCAGCAGTGAAGCCTGACGCAATACAACAACAAAGACTGGACTTCCCGACCACAGCTGGACAACAATTACACACAATCAGAGCAGTGACAGCTGGTCAGCTCAGTGGAACCCATTCACACTGAGAGACAGACAGGCTCATACCTCATAGGCTAAAGCAAACGTCCCCCAGTGAATGGCCAGTGATGTTTTCGCCTGAATGTCCATGTGAATCTGAACAGCTTCTTCAGGGTCCACATGCTGAGACTTCATGATTCCTCTAAACAGAACATGTCATAATTGTACTTCAGTTAAAAACAGAGGAAAACACACATCTGCTTTTTGCATTTATCCATTTAGCAGATGCTTTTATTCCAAGCGACAAAAGAGGAACACAAGTAATTCTTCAAGGAACCAACAATATTCATAATATGCAATGCATGGTTTATTTGACAACTAGATTAGGAAGTAAACTGCTCTTTAAGGTCTTACCTGAGCAGGTAAGCTCCAATCGGGATGGCAGCCAGGTCAAACGATCTGAAGCGTTTTCCAATCTCTTTAAATGCTGAACAGTATCCCGTATCCCCAGCAAAGAAGAAACGACAATGTGGGCCTACGATAGTCCAGCTTCCCCATAATGCTTTGTTGTCATCCACAGGCGTGCGTTTGCACCAGTGCTGTGCCGGCGTGCAAAAAAATGTGACATCGTCGTGCCCAGGAATGCGGCTCCCCACCCACCAAGCGTTCAGTGCTGCCACAGAGTCTGCGTCGAGGTGATCGTAGTGTGTATGACTGATCACCACTGCGTCCAGGCGAGGAAGCTTTTCTACGGTGCAAGGCGGGTCACGGTAACGCTTCGGGCCCATGAACGGGACTGGAGAGGCTCTCTGGCTGAACATGGGGTCAAGTCAGAACCACCAGTCCTGCCATCTCCACCAGTACAGTGGCATGACCCAGCCAGGTCGCTTGCACAGATGAGCCTCTCTGCCCACACTGATCTGGCCTCTGGATAAAATATGGCTCCAGAACCGGCAACTCACGGTCTAGAACCTGAGAACAGAAAAAAAAAAATTCCCACTTTTTTTAATTTTTACATTCAGTTTTAATAATGTGAATAATTTTAATTTACTTTTTAAAATGTTACAGATATTTAAAGGGGGTCATATGATGCTTTTTTGGCGTGGCAGAGTCTTAACTTTGATAAAGAATATCTCTTTGGTTTTGAGACTTTAGTCTTTGCAACTTCAGGGATCTTATCTATGCACAATCAGCTTGTAACACTCCAAAGAGAAAGGAAAACTTGAAATCGCATCATATGACCCCTTTAAGACAGTTTTAACCTGGTGGCTATGTTATGCAACTGGCATAACATACTGTGTGAAAGATCCCTTAGTCTTTCACACAGAGAGCTTTGATATTATTTACATAAGGTAAATGCATTTGCAATATTTGACCACTAGAGGGCAGGTTAGTGTAAGACTAATGGCAGTAACAATGCATAGAAAATGTGTGAATCAGAATTCTATTGCATTAATTTTCCCCATGTGAATTAATTCATGAAATGTGTCAATGTACGTTGAATATGTGGAGGAAAGTAGAAAGTAGTAGTATTAATTGTAGTAGTAACTGATTTGAGTATTTGAACAGCAGGGATCGTATAGGCCCTTTCTTATGCTGTTAGGAAACTGGCAGTCCTCAAATGTATTATTGAAAAATGTCTATACACACCCTTCCAGCCTAGGGTGAAGTCATTATGTACATGATGTGCAGTGTGTGACCACCTTTGAACTTATTCTTCTGTATCATGCAACCAACATTAATATTCTCTTAATATTCAACGTTAATAAATTAACAATGTGGGGTGCACGTCAAAACAAATATTTCTTTCTGAAGAGGTGAAATTAAATGTCAATCATCAAACTGCCAGCAGTGAATGCAATTTTGGGATGGCAATCGGGGTGGCCAATCAGATGTCAGGGGTGCCAAGAGCCACCCAACCCAGACGCCCCTGTGGATCCACCACTGATGTGGACCATAGAGTGTAAAAAAGACTATGCACTGTCTGTAACTTAAAATAATAAATGGTTAGAGATGACATTACCAAAAAGTTGTGACATTTAACCTAGTAATGGTGAGTTTGTAAGACTTTTTGGAATTATAAATACTACTGCACTTTTAACCTACAAGCACTTAATATATAATACTACTTAATATAAATACTACTGCACTTTTCATCCATCCACCACATATATATTGTGTGATTACACATATAAAATGCTTTTAAAATAATGACAATTTGACTTGACATTTTAGTTGTCTCCCTTATTGACACACTCAACTCAGGTCATGACACAAACTCTACTAGTGCTGGCTCCAGGGACAAACTGAAAACCACTGGCTTAGTACATTTAAATATATATATATATTAATTTTTGGTTATTGCTACAAATATACCCCAGAGACTTAAGACTGGTTTTGTGGTCCAGGGTCACATATTATAGTGATTATAGTTTGATCAGAGGTATTTTGAGATATTGACATTGTACTGAAAATGTATTGACAAGAATTCATAACTGGTGTTATGAATCCTTTCTTAATTTGAGAAATAAAACTTGGCACTCAAATGTATTGTCACATGTGAATAAAGTCTCTCTGAGCTCACTTGATGTTCTGGCATCTCTTTGAGTGACTCTTGTACTTAATGAATAAATCTGTAACATCAACTCATAATAAAACTAGACATCTAAACAGATTTACCTATTGTGAAATGAACTGTTGCACCTACAACAGCAGCCACCAACTGAACTGACCATAAGATCATAACAGCACATGAGCCAGAAAACACTGAATAAATACAATAAATGAGCTGTAACACTTATCAATCTCATAGAAGATGAGAAGAGGAGTTTATGTGACTTCTTCTGCTTGAGCGTCTGTCACGGCACTTCAACTCCTAGAAGGCCTCAAATGCCAACACTTGCTGGGAAAGCCACAGTGGCGCAGGTGGCTAAATGCATGTTAATGGCACACATGGATGCACTGAAGTCGTGGGTTCAAATCCCACCATTCGATCAAAATGAGTTTGGAGACATTATACAGTAAATGAAATGGTGTCGTTTTATTAGGCTATTGCTGCATGTTTCTTTGTGAAATTGAAATATAACAAAACTAAAATTTTAAAACAAATAAAAGAAATATCTTAATATGAACAAACTAAGTCTTTGTCTGTGCTCTTTCCATTTAAAATTAGAATCAACCACTGGATTTTAATAATGATCCAAACAAAGATGCAGCATACATGCAGCAGATGAGCTGAATGAGACGCAGATTCACTCTCTGCCAGCAGGTGGCGCTTATGGAAAGGAATGATACAGTGTTTCCTGGGTTACCGCTGTAAACAAAGCAGTGCTTATGAACACTAATTTAATATGCATTGTTCAGAGGCAAGATGAAAAGAAAATACCATGTAAACTTTTCTAAAGATAGTTCCCCTCAGAGATACATTCATATAAACTCCTACTCCAATTGTATCGCGATTTGTTTGGCATCTCAACCGATTTGAATCGTCACATATTTGAATCGATTTTCGACCGGCTCGCGGTTAATCGTTACATCCCTAGGGTCAACATATCTAACAAAACAAACATACACAAAAAAGCTCACCCTTGGCTCAGCGGATAACTGTTTGCCTTTGGTGCATAAAACTCTTGGTTCAAATCCAAGCATTAGTAATGTTATATAATTTCACAACTTGTGAAAATTCATATTCCCAACAAAAAATACTCAAACAACCAGTGAGTTTCTGTAGCTCAATAGATAAAGTATTGCTGTTCAATCAAGGAGTCCTGAGTTCAAATCCCACTGTTAAAGTAAAAAATTTCACATGTTGCATTATATCTAACAAAGTGCCTCAAACACCAACTCTTGCTGCGAAAGCCATGTTGGCGCCGGTGGTTAAACACACATTAATTACACACGTGGATGTGTTAAATTCATGGGTTCAAATCCCACCTCGGTGTGTTAGGACACAATCACTACACTATGGCTTTAAAGCCTGAATCTGATACTTTATTTGAAACTCACAGGTGACTAGTGAAGTATAAGTTCCTTCACACATCCTGACAAGAGATCTGTGGCTCACAGGTATGAGCGCTGCCTCACGGTTTCAAAGGTTGCTGGTTCAATCCCAGCCAGATCTCTGCGATATGAATGAGTGGTGTGGCGTGAGTGAAGGGTGCGCCCAAAGGAGGGGGATACCAGTACGGTCTCCCCCCTGGAGCTTCCGGCACGATGTCCAGCAGTGGTTATACTTATGGCAGACTGAATTTTTTTTTAAAAACGCTGTATAAAATTTCACACTTGCCATCCCTTCCCCACCTACTTAGGTTACCATCATTTGCTTTTTAAAGGCGTCACCCTTCAAAAAGGAAATGATGGTAACCTACACATTCAGTACCAAACAACACACCATATAATTACCTGTCCATGAGCAGATGTCCGTCATTGTGGTAAATTTCCCAGAACTCTGTATGGTCCAAACGCACCCCTTATTCTGTAAAGACAGAAATAAACAAAGACTCTATACGGTATGTACAATAACATTATAAATCTTTAAAAATAGATAATGTGGACATCAGTTAAAAGTTTTGCCTTAAAAGACTGAAAACTAAAAAGATATATAATCTACATTCAGACATTTTCTGCCCTAAAAATATATATTTTGTGTGACCCACACTGAGCATATTATCAGAAGCATTAATAATTGTCACCAACTGACTCTATTAACAAACACGTATAGAGTAGACTACTATTTACCACATTACAACATCAGCGGATAAACAACACTTATTGTTATTATTGCCCTTTATAAAGCTTCATAGGAATCGACTCCTTAGATTCAAATTATCACGGTAATGCAACCACTATCGATTTAATTGCTGTTCTGAAGGTACTGGAATTTAGCAAGAGAGCCAACATGCAAACAAAGTCCGTGCTAAACCTGCATAAAAGATCTCACTGCCTACCTTCATACATGCTTAGCTGTCAAATCACTAGCACTTCAAGGATTGACAGCGCGTGTCAAAAACAAGACCAGCATCACCCAAATACTCCAGCAAGCACATTAAAGACCTGCTTTGACATATCAGAAAAACGAAACTTCACTACAAACTTAAATAACGCTAAATAAGTACTAGTGACCTTACAAGAGAAGCGCACTTTATGCGTAAAATCACTTACAGATGAGTCGCGTGACATCCTCCATTCATGCACTTTATCGCAGTATATGATGGTTTTGTTTCATGCTGGCCTCAAATATGTGCTGTTGAGTCACATTAAGAGTCTCTCACTGAGCTGTCATGTGCAGAATCTGCACTTTCATAGCTTTAAAGCGGTCTGAAGTTGTTGACACTGCTGTCAGGTGTCATGTTGACAATGATGCACAGTTCGCCGGAGGCAAAGTCCGCTTACGCCCCTAGTGGAGCGGACGACAAACTGCAGGTTACCTTTCCAGCAGACGAGTCCTGTTATAGTGCCAGTAGACTGAAAAATACTTCAGGTTTGCTCACTAACTCATTACTTAAACGTCTAGCTTACTTTAACGTTTACAATCTCAAGCAGAATTCCTATTTATCACGTTGAATATAAGACAGGTGAAAAAAAAAAGTGATCAGCGGATCCCTCTTGTGGTCAGTAAGTGTAGCGTATTTATTAATCGAGACGCCAAACTCTCAGAGAGTCGGTGGTGAGAGGACGCAAATGTGTGGATTTATACATGTTAAAAGAAATCTATCTTTTTTTTTTAGGATCATGGAACATTCGAATCATAAACATGGAATCTAGCAGCTAAAGGACTCAGATCAGCTCTAGACTGATGGGGTAAAATATCCGATGTGTTGAACTGGAAGCCACATGGCCGAAATACAAACACAAATTAAATGCGGGATAAAATATTTTCCAAGACTGTTTTTGAGTTGTCTATCTATTGGTAAAGTCGATATATATATATATTTTTTTTCATCTAAAGTGACTTTTATCGTTTTTTCCCTCACAATTATACAATTAAGTCGTGGTGTAGTTTGCAGATTTAAGCGGCATTTATAGCAAAGCTTCAAGGTTTAGGAACGGCACGTTTGACAGCTCCCCCTTGTGGACATGAAGTATATCTGCAGGACTAAAAGAAAGAGAAACGCTGTTATCTGGTTTTTCTTGGTATTAACAGAAAACAATTGTATCCTATGATTAAATTTACTGTGCGCTGGACATGGGAAGTCTCGTATACTTGAGAGTACTGGTTCAAATCCTGCCATTTCTAACATGTTTATATATATATATATATATAAAGAAAATAAAAAGTAGCTTTGCCATGTCCAGCTCAACTGTTCAACATATGAAATGAATACAAGCTGTTTTACATGTGGATTCGTGTTCAAATACAAAATTGCTTTTAGCTATTTTTTTTTTAACATAAACAGCAAAAATAAATAAATTAACTCTTTAAATTCAGAAATCTTGGGCTCAGATGATAATTGTTTGCCTTTCATGCCTTAAACTCTTGGTTTAATATCCTACTACCAGAGCTCCCTGGCTCAGTAGATAAAGTGTTGCTTTTCAATTAAGGAGTCCTGAGTTCAAATCCCACTATTGTTAAAGTAAAAAATTTCACATGTTGCATTATAGCTAACAAAGTGCCTCAAACGCCAGTTCTTGCTGTGAAAGCCACGTTGGCGCAGGTGGTTAAACATGTTAATTACACACATGGATGTGCTAAAGTTGTGGGTTCAAATCCCACCTCGGTGTGTTAGGACACAATCACTACACCACAGCCTTAATCTGATACTTTATTTGAAACTCACAGCTCACAAACAGGTGAATAGTGAAGTATAAGTTCCTTCACACATCCAGACAAGAGATCTGTGGCTCACAGGTATGAGCGCTGCCTCACGGTTTCAGAGGCTGCTGGTTCGATCCCAGCCAGATCTCTGTGATATGAATGTGTGGTGTGGTGTGAGTGAAGGGTGCGCCCAAAGGAGGGGGATACCAGTACGGTCTCCCCCTGGAGCTTCCAGCACCATGTCCAGCAGTGGTTATAGTTTTGGCATACAAAAAAAAAAATATTTATGCTGTGTAAAATTTCACACTCGCCGTCCCTTCCCCACCTACTTAGGTTACCATCATTTGCTTTTTAAAGGTGTCACCCTTCAAAGAGGAAATGATGGTAACCTACACATTTAGTACCAAACAACACACATTATAATTACCTGTCCATGAGCAGATGTCCGTCATTGTGGTAAATTTCCCAGAACTCTGTATGGTCCAAACTCACCCCTTATTCTGTAAAGACAGGAATAAACAAAGACTATATTGTATATGAAGCTTTCAGTTTTACAAAAGTATTATAAATCTCCGTAACACTAATAGATAACATGGACATCAATTAAATTTTTGCCTTTAAAGACTGAAAACTAAAAGATCCTCTATAATCTTGAAGGTGTAACCCCTTCAAAAAAAAAAAAAAGGCAACCAACACATTTACTTCCCAACAACACACAGTCATACATTAAAAGCATTACCTGCCCATGAGCAGATGTCCATCATTACAGTGAATCTCAGTCCACGTGTCTTAGAACTTTGTATGGTCCAAACACTTATTCCTTATTCTGTAGAGGAAAAACATGAATAATCAAAACTAAATAAACATAGACATAAACATACACTTAGCCTTATTCATATTGTATGCAACTTTCAATTGCACAAGGGAATTGTAATTCTTTATTTACACATTTGCTACCCAAAAATACACAAAATAACAAAAAATTTACTGAAAGGCGAAACTTCTTAAAGGGATAGTTCACCCAAAAATGAAAATTTGATGTTTATCTGCTTACCCCCCCGGGCATCCAAGATGTAGGTGACTTTGTTTCTTCAGTAGAACACAAACGGAGATTTTTAACTCCAGCCGTTGCAGTCTATCAGTCGTATAATGCATGGCAATGATAACAAAATCTATGAGAGTAATGTGTGTGTGGCAGTCAGTCACCGCACCGGTGTGGATATTTACTGTACTTCGCAATCACAGATTCTAGCCTACGTCTTGGAATATGACCCAAATAAGAATTTTCACCGTATATTGCCATCTGAGCAAGTAAGTAACAAGTCTGCCACGTTTGTTCTGACCAACTGAGGAAAAAAGCATTACCATAAATCTCGCTACCAATGGTGATTAAATCTAAAGATCGGTTAGCTCATATCACATAAAACCGTTCAAATTATTATTATTGTTATACTTTATTCTCAAATGATTAATGTTAACAACATCAGCATTGGTGACTATGAGTATAGTGTGTATTAGCGTGTAGATTTCAATTTCTAATTGCCATACTCTTCGAATTTCATATTAAGAAATTCTTTTAACCCAAAAAGCAAATTATGCTCCCTTCAAACTGGTTTTCTTTAAAATACAAATCTTTGTAATCCCAGGCTATCTGTAATCAGAAGCACATTTATAACTGGAATATATTATATATCATTTCATTCACATGTGTTTCATAAACACATAATCCTTTATGGATTACAATCCGCCATCAAAATGATACATTTAATTATTCTGGCTGCTGTGAGAAAAGGCTATAAACAATCGGCCACCTGCAGGATCCTGTAGCCAAGACAACTTCTTTATGTTTACAGACGTGACGCAATTACGCAGTGCCATGCTCGAATTTCCCGCGAAAACCTACCCGTACCACTCAAATTAGAAAACATTATTATAAGCTAACCGTTGTGAATCGGGCTAAGGCCCTGTCCACACGAACGCGGTTATTTTTAAAACCGCAGCTTTTTCTACGGGGTTTGGCTGTTCGTCCACACGCAAATGCAGAACCAGTTCACTGAAACCGAACATTTTTGAAAAATGCAGTGTTATCGTGTAGACAGCGAAACCGGAGTTCCCTTTCGATACTACAGTCGTACTGCGTCTTGCTAGACGCATATGGGAAAAAAGCCTTTTTTCTCCTGAACTGAAGCCTTTTCATTCACACAGTGAAACTGCACGGCCATTGGTTCATGCGGTGTATTAAAAAACGAACCAATGACTAGGCAGCGGGGCTGCATGAGCCTATGGCGACGAAGCCCGCTAAGCCTGCCAAAGTCTGCCAGAATGGGCGGGGCATCTGGCTATATAAGCGGGCGTTCACCACAGAATTCTCAGATTTCTTCTCCTTCAGCGACGACTCTTCGCTCATCACTGATCCTGAAAGCCTACTCGCCGTTGACACGCCTCGCAGCTGGATTGAGACCTCCCTGCTCAGCTGACCGGCTCTCTTCGCACCTCAGCATCGCAGCAGTTCCGGGCCTGTTCCCCTGATCCTGATACTGAAAGAGCTTATTTCTAGCAGGTAAGCCCTAAAAGAGCTCATTCTAGCGACGTTGTTGCAAATGTCGCGCTGTGAGTGTGGCTCGTGCAGGGAATCTTGCACGATGCAGAAGGGCAGTGAGTGCCGTCACCTATCTGGGCAGCCCCCACGCAGAGACTGCTCGCTCACTGAGACGGAAAGCTCTCGTTGAAAGCATGAGTCTTGCCCTTCTCCACTCGCGGACCGCCTTCACAGTGAGTGCCGTCACCTATCTGGGCAGCCCCCACGCAGAGACTGCTCGCTCATTGAGACGGAATGCTCTTGTTGAAAGCATGAGTCTCGCCCTCCTCCACTCGCGGACCGCCTTCACTGAAGGCAGCCCCGCTCTCCCGTTTCTCCTCTCTCAGCGAGCCTCGGAGAGGGAAACAGCGGAGTCAGGGAATAAGCAACCGGGTTGATTGATCTCATGTCGGCTCTGTGCCTGCGTGCTCTCTCTCCCCGTTGCACTCGCGGACCATCTTTTACTGAAGGCAGCCCCGCTCTCCCGTTTCTCCTCTCTCAGCAAGCCTCGGAGAGAGAAACGGCGAAGCCTGGGAACTAAGCAACCGGGTCTGAGCGATATCACGCCGACACAGAGCCTGCGTACTCGCTCTTCCCGCTGCGCTTCGATCTGTGTCTTGCACGTAAGGATCAGTGTCCCCCTTTACATCGAGCGGCTCTATCCTCCTAAGTAGATCGGAGCAGATGCTGCCACTGGCAGCTTTGAATTGTGTGTGTCACTATGACTGCGCTCACAGACACGGGCTGCTGTTACCACAAAAGCAGTCTGCCCCTGTTCGTTCGTGGAAGGCGGCCCCGCCTCCCGGCTCTCATGTTTCTCTCCTCACAGTTACCTCGGAGGAAGCAACAACTCTTTGTCAGCTTCGGTAACCGCACCAAAGGGCTTCCGGTTACGAAGCAAAGACTCTCTAGATGGATAGTAGACTCCATATCGCTAGCGTACTCTTCTTTGGGCCTTCAATGCCCAATTGGAGTACGGGCCCACTCGACTAGAGGCATCGTCTCGTCTTGGGCATGGTCCAGTGGTGTGTCCATTGCGAATATTTGTGAGGCGGCCGGCTGGGCCTCGCCGTCCACATTCGCAAGGTTTTATAACCTGGAAGTCCCGGCCTTGCAGGCCAGGGTCCTTTCCGCTTGAGGTTATTGTTAACTTCTCTATGAGCATTGGTTGCTTATGGAAGTTTATACCTTTAGTCGTTCCACTACATTAGCACGGCGTGATTGTACTGTGTTCACATATGCGTCTAGCAAGACGCAGTACGAGTGTAGTATCGAAAGGGAACGTACTCGGTTACTAACGTAACCTCGGTTCCCTGAGATACGGGAACGAGTACTGCGTTGCTAGCCATGCTATGTAGCTGCACGACTCAGTCGTCGCTTCAGTCGAAGTAACCTGAGAATCCTGTGGTTAACGCCCGCTTATATAGCCAGATGCCCCGCCCACTCTGGCGGGCTTTGGCAGGTTTGGCGGGCTTCGACACCATAGGCTCGTGCAGCCCCGCTGCCTAGCCATTGGTTCGTTTTTTAATACACTGCACAAACCAATGGCCGTGCAGTTTCACTGCGTGAATGAAAAGGCTTCAGTTCAGGAGAAAAAAGGCTTTTTTCCCATATGCTTCTAGCAAGACGCAGTACTCGTTCCCGTATCTCAGGGAACCGAGGTTACGTTAGTAACCGAGTACGTTTTTGGCTTGTGACGTCGGAGCTTGTGCTGTTATCTCCGCCTACTGGAAACTTTTTCAGGCTTCTGATTGGCCAACATGGTTTTACGGTTGAGATTATATCGCCACCTGTTGGTTAGGCATGCTCTTGACAGTGCGTCATAGCATGCGTTTGCGTTTTCGTGTGGACGGAGATTTTTTTAAAAACGGAAGAAGGAAAAACTCGATAGTTTTGAACACTGGCTGGTTATGTACTTGCTCAAATATTGATTTCGGATCATTTTTAACCAAAAAAAGTCACTGTCTAAATGTACCATAGTCCAATATGAATTGCAGCATATTAATGCTGCATATATGTCCTCTGTTATACAGTTATGTACAGTTTTACATTTCAAAATGACATCAAAATGTATCTGTGCTATAATCATCTTATAACATATAGCTAAAAGTAGGAAAAACATGAAGCAGCAGGGGAACATCAGAGCATCCCACATCACTTTTTTTTAATACAATGACACTACACACATCAACAGAGATCAATGGAATTTACTACTTTTTATATCACATACGTAAATGTAGCTACTGGCTTTAGTTCATCCAAAGCATCAATTACTGATTAATTTATACATACTTTAATGCATGCTAGTAATTTTACAAGAGAGTCGCGATTCATGAGGAAAGAGACTAACTACTTACATTAAAAGTAGACATTAAGATTTCAAATGCACGATCTGTACTTGTTAAATCTGTTAAAACGTGAGTTGTGCAGACTGTTTGTAAGCGATCCAAAGGTGTCATGCTGAACGTGAAGCGCGCTTTTGCCCCTAGTGGAGCGGATGGCAAACTGCACTTCAGTATCTAGCTAGCGGAGGAGTTTACAGTCTTTATCTCGTCACTGTAACATAAATATGATTATTTTATATGAGTTTGGGTTGGTGGAGGCGTCTACTCTTAATGCCTAAGTGTCCCAGATTGATACCAGTTTCGTCACGTGCTACTTGTTACTTTTCCCAACGCTGGTGTGGTGGAACAGAGCCATTCAAGAAAGCGCGTTTTAATTATCTTACTGAGATTACAGATTCATATTTTGTATTTAAAGACTGCAAGTATTATATACCATTGATAAACACATTCTTATTTTACAATAAGAAAAAAAAGTGACGTTGCATTCTCACATCTGACAAGTATTTTCTGTCTGTGGATATGCTATGGTTGTTTAATAACGTCGCAGAACTCTTGTGTTAAGGGAGGAAACAGGTCAGCAGAAGGTTTCTATGAGAAACAGATTGCAGACCATGTTATCCGCCACAACACACAGTAATACATCACAGATTTCTGGGTGGATAATCTCATCATGGACAGATGTCACATGCAGCACAGCAGATAAACAGACCTCATCCAGGCATTTACTGCACAGACTAATCCTCTGTTTTGAGCTTTATGACAATCTCTCCACGTGGACACATTTACAACCTTTTAGGACATGCGCCCCCCCCAATAAAGCAGCGAACAATATTTCTTTTGCTCTTTTTGAGTAACATTATTTACGTAAGAAATGCACGGATC